GCAATGCCCAGACATGAAGTGTGCGGTGTGATGAGCTGGAGTAGAAGTACACATGCCTGGAAGGACCACCCCAATCACGATAAAGAGCATTTCCATCCCCCTAGAAAATTCCCCTTGTGCCTCTTTTCAAGTCAGTGCCCATGCGTTATAAGAAACCAGGGTTCTCACTTCTGTTACCAAAGGTTGCTTTGTCCTATTCTTGAATGTCATGAAAATGAGATCATACAGGATGTGCTCTTTCATGTCTGAGTTCTTTCTTTTAGCATCATGGTTAAGGATTCACGCATGTAGCGTATGTGCTTTTGTGTGGCTAAGTGGTATTCCATTTTGTGGGTACTCCACAATCTGTTCTTTAATTCTCCTGTGGGTGGACATTCGGGTCATTTCTAGTATGGAGTTAAGCAACCGTCGACGTTGTACAAGTCTTAATATGGACCTATTTGTTGATTGTTGTGGGTAAATACCTAGGAGTGGTGTTGCTGGTTCATATGATAAATGTATGTTTAACTTTCTAAGAAACTGCCAAACTGTTTTCCCAATGGTTGTGCCATTTGACCTTCCCACCAGCGGTGTATAACTGATCAAGTTGTCCCACACGCAGCCCAACAGTAGGCATTCTTAGTTATTTCTTTAAAGTTTTAGACATTCAAGTAGGTCTAAGACCATATTTCATTATGAGTTTAATTGGCATTTCTTAGATGATTTCATGATAGTTGAGCGTGTTTTTATGTGCTTATTGGCTCTTTGAATATCTTGATTCATGAAGTATCGGTTTTAAGTATTTTGCTCATTTTTAAACTGGCTTGTATGATTTTTTTATCGCTGGTTTGTAGGAAGCTATATATTCTGGATATAATTCATTTTTCAGATGTATGTATGGCAAATATTTTGTTTCCCACTTTGTGAAAAAGGTCATTCTCTTAATGAGGTCTTATTGGGTGAAGTCTCATTTAAGTTTTTCTTTTATGTTTAGTGTTTTCTGTGTCTTCTCGAATACTTCTTTTTCTACCCCAAGGTTGTGAAGATAAATTTTGGGGAGATTTAGAGTTATAGCTGTCATATTTTAACCCATGATCCATTTCAAATTAATTTTGTGAGTGGTGTGAGGTAGGGATTGACGATCATTTTTCCCCCATGCGTTTATCCAGTCGTTATAGCACCGCTGGCTAAAGAGCTTCCCTTTTCCCATTGAATCACTTCGGCACCTGTGTTGAAAGTGTCCCTATGTGTGTGGGTCTCTTTCTGGACTCCGTTCTGTTTATCGATCTAATTGTCTACCCTGACACCAGTACCACACTGGCGTAATTGCTAGAGCTTGGAATCAGATGGTCTTCCACATTTCCACTTCTTTCTTAGTTGTTTTGGTTAAATTTTAGAATTAAGAATCCACTTGTTAATTTCGTTTTAAAAAGCCTATGACTTTGATTGGAACTGCATTCAATACATAGATTAATTTGGGAACAGTAACATCTTAGCTATATTGCGTCCTCCAACCCGTGAACATGATACCTCCTTCCACTCCGGGGCCTTCACAGCTTTCAGGATGGAGGTCCTGCCTATTTTTTGTTAAATCTGCTCCTCAGCATTTTTTGCTTTCTGGTGTTAACGTAAATGGGATCTTAATTTAATTTTCCACTCATTTGCTGCTAGCGTGTAAAAAATAGAATAGCTTTTTCTCTATTGACATAGTATCTTGTGAGGTTACTTAATTCATTTGTTCATTCTGGTAGTTGTTTCATAGATTTCCCATAGAGACAGCCATAGATTTGACAATAAAGACAGTTTTACTTCTTGCATTCCAGTCTTTGTGGTTTTGACTTCTTTCTCTGGTCTTGTTGGACTGGTTGAACCTCCAATAATATTGAACAAAGTGAGAGCAGGTGGCCCTACCTCCTCCCAACCTTCTGGGAAACGCGTTCACTCTTTCGCCCCTACGTGTGACGTGAGCCGCAGAGTTTGTGTAGATGCCCTTTATCCGGTTGGAGTCCTCTTCTCCTAGTTTGCTAAGTTTTTCATCAAATGTTCTTTGCCAAAATTCTCTGTTAAATTGTGTCAGCTGTCCTTTTTGGCTCCGTAGAGATGGGTTGAGGAAGTTTCCCTCTTTCTCCAGTTTTCTAGTGGTTTTTATCCTAAATAGGGGTTGGGTTTTGTCACGTATTTTTTTCCGCATCTACCAGGATGGTCGTATCATTCTTCTCCTTTACTCTCTGAAGATGGTGAATGATGGTGACTGGTTTTCAAATGTTGGAACACCTTGCTTTCCTGGGGTAACGCCTCTTGTATTCTCAGGGAGCCGTCCGAGGAAAATACTTAGGAATCAATTTAACAGAGAGTCCCCAGGACCTCTCCCCTGAGGTAAGGTGAGGTCTCTTTTTATGTGTTGCTGGATTTGATTTCCCAGCAACGTGTGAAGGGTTTTTGTGTCTGTGTTCAGGGGAGACGTTGGTCTGTAACTTTTCTCGTGTAATGTCTTTGTCATGTTTTGATATTGGGATTATGGTGGCCTCATAAAACATGTTGAGAGGTTTGCTTTTTTCTCTGTTTTCTGCAAGATTTTATGTAATGTTGGTATTATTTCTTCCTATGTCCATTTACATGTAATGTATTCATTGATATGGTTGAGGTTGAGTCTGCCATGTTGCTATTTGCCTTTTATCCATCTTGGGTTTTGTCTCCTGTTCCTCCTCTGCCTTCTCTTGGGTTAACTGGCTAAATTTTTGTGTTCCATTTCATTCCTTCTGTTGGCGCTTTAGCTATACTTTTTAGCATTATTTTTAGGTGATTGTTTAGGCATTATACTGTGCAACTTTAATTTTTTTTTTTTAATTATAGACTTTATTTTTTAGGGCGGTTTTAGGTTCACAGGAAATTCAGTGAAAAGTCCAGAGAGTTCCCACATATCCCCCTCCCCACACATTCTCTCAGCCTCTCCCACGGCCAACATTGACACATCATTATCAGCCAAAGTCCATAGGTTACACTGGGGTTCACTCTTGGTGGTGTGCATTCTGCAGGTTTGGACGGATGTATAATGACATGTACCCACCACTACAGTATCATACAGAGTAGTCTCTCTGCCCTAAAAATCCTCTGTGCTTCTTCTGGTCATCCCTCCCTCCCCCCAACTCCTGGCAACCAGCGATCTTCTTACTGGCTCCATAGTTGTGCCTTTGCCAGAATGTACATCGTTGGAATCATGTATTATGCAGCCTTTCCAGACTGGCTTCTTTCACTTAGTAATATGCATTTAAGTTTCCTTCGTTCCTTTTCATGGATTCATAGCTCATTTCTTTTCAGTGCTCAGTGACAGTCCGTCATATGGGTTTACCACAGTTTGTTTATCCATTCACCCGCTGTAGGACATCTCGGTTGCTTCAGTCTTGGCAGTCATGAACAAAGCTGCTGTAAACATCTGTGTGAAGGTTTTGTGTGGAAGTTAAGTTTTCAACTCCTTTGGGGTAAATACCCAGGAGGACGATTGCTGGATCGTGTGGTAGGAGTACATTTAACTTTGTGAGAAACTCACAAACTGTCTTCCAAAGTGGCTGTCCCATTTCGCACTCCCATCAGCAGTGAATGAGAGTTCTCGTCGCTGTGCATCCTCGCCAGCGTTTGGTGTCAGTGTTGGGGATTTTCGCTGTTCTGATGGGGTGTCATGGTATCTTCTTGTTTTAGTTTGCATTTCCCTAATGATGTTGAGCTTCTTTTCGTATGTTTATTTGCCATCCCTATGTCTTCTTTTCTTGAAGTGTCTTTTCAGATCTTTTGCCCATTTTTAAATCATCCTTAACTTGTTAGTCTATTTAGAGTTAATATTGTACCACTTCACATAAAAAGTAAGGACTTTGCAGCAGGGTAATTCCTCCCTCACAGCCTTTGAGCCGTGGCTGCCGTATACTTTACATCTGTGCTATAGACTGAATGTTTGTGTCCCCCCAAAATTCGTATGTTGAAATCCTAACCCCCAACATGACGGTATGTGGAGGTGGGGCCTTTGGGAATAAGTGGGTCATGAGGGCAGAACCATCATGAATGGGATTAGTGCCCCTCTAAAGAGACCCCAGAGAGCTCCCTTACCCCTTCTGCCACGTGAAGACTGAAAAGGCGGCCAGGTGTGAGCCAAGAAGAACCAAGAAGCCCTCACCAGATGCCAAATCTGCAAACATCTGGATCTTGGGCTTCCAAACTCTAGGACTGTGAGAAATAAATTTCTGTTGTTTATAAGCCCCCCGGTCTATGAAATTTTGTTAGAGCAGACTGAACAGACTAAGATAATCTACATACATTTTCAACTCCATAATACAATATAATTTTTGCTTTAAATAGTCAGTTACCTTTTTTTCTCATGAGGGAGATTGGCCCTGAGCTAACATCCGAGGCATTCTTTCTCTACTTTGTATGTGGGATGCCACCACAGCGTGGCTGATGGATGCAGTAGGTCCTGCACTGGGGATCCAAACCCATGAACCTTGGGCCGCTGAAGCAAAGCACGCGGAACTCTAACCACTTGGCCACGGGGCCAGCCCCCGCCAGTTGTCTGTTGAAGAAATTATGAAAAGAAACTTAAAGATAATTTTTTATAGTTACCTGTGTATTTGCTATTTCTGGTGCTTTTATTTCTTCCTGTTGATCCCAACTTCCGGCTGGTGTTACAGCTCTTCAGCCTGAAGAATTTCTTTTTTCTTTTAACCTATCTTGCTGTGCAGAACTGCTTGTGCCTAATTCTCTCAATTCTAATTCTCTCTCTATTCTAATTCTCCCTAATTCTCTCTCAGCTTTTGCGTAGCTGAGCGTGTCTTTATTTTTGCCTTCATTTTGAAAGATGGTTTTTCAGGATATGGAATTCTGCATTCACAGTTCTGGTTTGTTTTTATTAAAGACGTCGATTCATTTTTTCCTGGCCTCCATTGTTTCTGATGAGAAGTCAGCCTTTATTTTATCATTATTCCCCTGCATGGAATGTGTCTTTTTCTCTGGCTGCTTTCAAGGTGTTTTCTCTCTGTCCTCGGGTTTCACTAGTTTAACCAGCCCTGGTTTCCTTTTTGTTTATCCTGCTTGATGTTCGTTGATCTTTCATGGTCAATAAATTTGTGTTTTTATCAAATTTGTAAAATTTTCAGCTGTTATTTCTTTAAATGTATTTTACGCGTCATTCTAACTCACCTTCCCTTCTGAGACTCTGCTTACGTTTCTGTGAGAAAGCTTGCTTTGTCCCTCAAGTGACTGGCTCTCTCATTTTTTAGGCTTTTTTCTTTCTGTTCTTCTGATTGGATAATTTCTATTGCTCTGGCCTCACTTTCCCTGCCTCTTCTGCTGACTCCACTCTGCTGTAAACCCATCCATGAATTTTTTTATTTCAGATATGTTTTTCAATTCTACACTTTTCATTTGATTCTTATTCATAGATTTCTCTCTGGAGATTCCCCATCTGTTTACTGTTTACTAACATCTTTTTCTTTAGGTCCATGGACATACTCATAATTGCTATGTTAAAGGCTTGGTCTGCTAATTTCAACATCTGAGTCATCCAGGGTTGTGTTGGGTGATTTTCTCTTAACTGTGCATCATGTTTTCTTGTTTCTTTGCATGTCTGTTTTTTTAGTGTGTACTTACATTATGAAAAATATATCGTAGAGACTCTGAATTTTGTTATCTTCCTCTGAAGAGTGTTGATTTTTGTTCTTGTCGGCTGCTGTTACTGACTGATCACCTTGAACTTGTGGAAGCTTGGCTTTATGCTTTGTTAGGGTAGATCTCCAGCAGTGGCCCTTCTGGGCTTTCAACAGGAAGCCTGAGGCACTTGTCAAGGCCCTTTCACTTGACTAGACTCAAACTCTAAAACTTCTTCTCTCCTGTAGTTGGCAAATAGCTGAAATCTTTGCTAAGTTCTTTAATCCTCCTGGGCCCACATGCGTGCATAATTCAGGGGTCAACCGAGGAATAGGAGAGTTTTTACAGATTGGTGCCCCCCACACCAACTTCCTCCTTTGGGAATTCCCCTTTCATTTCCATCCTCTCTGACAGCCCCAAACTCTGCCCTCTGACGCCTCAACCCAGTACACTTTCTGCTTAAGTTCCAGCTACCCCACACTGTAAGATGTAAGCTTATAAGATGTAAGGCATAGCAGAGCATAGACATCTTCCTTTCTTTTAAAGCAGCACAGGACTTCCTGTTGTGGATGTCCCATGCTTTATTTAACTAGTCCCCCATCAATGGCTATTTGTTTGTGTTTCCTCCAGTCTTTTGTTATGACAGATGATCTTGGTGGGCTATTTTTTATTTCTCTTGCTCCAGCCTTTACAACTGTGTGCAACATATTAAAGTCCACAGATATAGTCACACCTTTCGTTTGCAAAGAAAACTCCGTCTTTTATAGATTTGTGCAAAAGTCCTGTCATTTGTACCATGATGGGTTAGTTTATCGGATTAGTTTATTGGATTTATCCTGACAGAATTCTTCCTGAAACTAGTCTTGTTGGAGTCATGTGACACACCGTCAGAGCCCAGACACGGTGAACCAGAGTTGACCTCCTTTGGCTTCACCATAAAAACTTACCCACATGGTGTCCGGTCATGGTGACATACACAGGTTTTATGGCGGACAGAGTCCCACAGCATGGACAGTCACTTGCTAGTTTCCAGATTCAAATTCCTCTGAGGGCATCCTCATGAGAATGTCATACCCATGTCTTTCTCCCTCAAAAGTACAGGCCAGCTACCTCGTCACCATGGCAGGGATGCTTCTGAGGGAGGAGGAGTGTGTGTGAGTCTTTCCCCGCCATGGGGAAGGGCAACCCTGCCCCATTGTGCAGCCGCACCTGGGAACCTGAGTGGGGAGGCAGGATGAGTTTGGCCGTGTCCCGACTCAGGCTTCTCTCTCTGCCACGCACCCACTGTGGCTTATGAGGAGGATTAAGCGATCAACAGATGCAGACCACTTAGAACAGTGCCTGGAACAGAGCTCAGTAAAGATTGGGGTGGTTGTTGTGATCTGTAAACGTGTAAAGGGAAATTGCACTGCTAGCTCTCTCCGAGGCTGCTCACCTTGTAAGCATACTTCTTGAGAACTCAGCCCAGGGGGGCAGGAGAACAAGGGAGGAATTGTCCCCGGACATCTGAGATCAAGTGAAACCATGCAGAACGTGAAATCCCCCTCTCCAAAACCAAAAAGGGAAAAAACCCAATCCAGTTGCTGCCCCTGAGGTGCGGTGAGCCTGCTGTGATCCTGCAGGTGGCTCAGCCAGGACAATTGCCAGACACTCTCCAAAATTTCCCTTGTGGTCATCCGGGTCCTTCGGTCCACTTTACTTTCTTTGTTACATCTGAATGGCTAACAGGAGGCGGAAGCATCTAGCAGAGTCATATCGTAAGTCATCGGGGACGTCCCTTTGGCTGCTACTCAGCATGTATCATTTCCTGGTGGGACAGACTGTGCGAAGGGCTCCTGTGGCTTTAAGGAGCCAGGCGAGGTCACTGTTAATCATACAACTTTATTGCGCTCCTGGGTTATAAAGGAAGCGTCCTCATTCTGCATGTCTGTTTTATGACGTCCATAAACAGCGAATTGCCGACGACTGTGCCCCGGGTTAGAACGTCCTGGACCGGCTGGAGGGGCCGGGAGAGCGAAAGTGGAACAGAGGTGAGCTCGCCCCTCTTGCTTCCCTGGAGAGGGACCGTGACACCCCAAGAAGTGCCAGGGGGCGGATGAGGAGGCCCCCTGCCTGCCCTTCCCAGGCAGGGCCCTGGACAAGAGTACAAATAAATGCACCCCCCATGTTCAGGGCTCAGGGGTGTCGGTCTCTTTGGTGCCAAGTAATGTGGGTTATTTTCCCTGAGGCCAAATAAGATACCCCTTTCTGGAGGGCTAGCTTCAGACAGTTTGTGTGCTCTGGGAGCATGTCTATTAAGTGTGTATGACTTAGAGGATGCTCTCTGTGTCTCTGTGGCTTCAGGCTGAGACTGATGGGGTGGAACGCAGCCCACTGCATCATGTTAGCAGCCGGGAAACACACAGCGGTGTTATGCAACGACTGCCAATGTATCGAGAGAGCTCAGGCCTGAACTCCAAGGCAACAGGCATGTGCCGGCGGGGTACTGGTCATAGTACCGTTGGGGGGTCACAGGCTTGGGTTTCAGATGCCCAGGCTTATGTCCCTGTGCCACCTTCGCTCGATGCGCAGGTCTGGGGGCCATGTATTGCTGGGGCTGTGTTTGCATCCATTTGCCCAGGGGTGAAAGGTACATGTCAAACCAGCTTAGGTGTGCCGAGGACAGAAGGATGGCTGTTGCTGTTATTGCTCTGTTCGGTGCAAGATGAAAAGGGTGTGCCGGTCAGCGGGCTGGCCAATTGAATTAGTGCCCCGTGTTCTACTAATCTTTGGAATAGGAATTATAGGTTGGGCTGTCCTGTTGATCAATGAAACCAGATTTTCATGTCCTGTGCTGATTGGTCTGAAACAAGTAAACAATTCCTGGAAAGGCAGGGAGAGGCGGAGGCAGGTTCCTTGAACAGTCTGCAACGCCCGAAACACCCCAAGGCAGAGTCGGGTGACAGCCTCTGGGCATCAGAGACGTACAGGACTCTGAGGGTAGATCTCTGCCCTGGTCATTTGTGAGAGTAGCTGAGTAAACACCACAGGGGAGGGTGCCCATCCTGGCACCCTGGGGGCTCAATCCTGCCCCTGAATGCCAACAGGCAACTCTGCAGTCATCTCCAGGGGTTAGGTTGTTCCAGTCTCCTTGGTCTGTTCCAGGGGCCAGGTCCTGGGGCCGTTCTAGTGCAGATCCGTGGCCCGAAGCTGGCTTGACTTGGCAGCATCTTAAAAACTGGACCCGGCCTCTGCCCGGCTCTGAGATCGCCCTGGAACTAAACTCTACTACGTGAGAGACTTTTACTCGTCAGTGCCTGTCCCTGAGAGGACAGCCGGACAGACACCCCAGACGATCTGACTTAGGCCAGTCCAGGTGTAAGCAGGTGAAAAGCAGCCCAGACTTTGAAAAGGCTGGTGACGAGCCTCTGCAGCCTGTCGTTATGACCGATCGTTTGGGTGGCCGGATCTTTTGCCTTTATTGAAGTCGTTGGTGCCTAGGAGTACATCACAGTGAGCTTGGAGCAGCACCCTTGAAATCCACTACCGTGCCCTAGATTCAGGAGCACTCGTAGATAATATGGCAGCTGTCTCGTGGAACGGCGTTTTCTCTGGAGAGAATGTGAGCTGCCTGTGCATATCGGCCGGCACTCCCCTCCTCCCACCCATATGGATCGGCAGTAGTTCATACTGATTTCCCATTCTCTCAGAGCCTCATTTCCACTCTCCCCGTTTTCCAAAATCTTTGAGGTCCAGAGGGACCCCAGAGACCTGGTCTCAGCCCACTGTGAATTGCCAGTGTCCCTGGCTGTTGCTGGTTATCCTTAAAGCTATTAAGAAATTCTTAAAGCAAAATTACATGAACATGCTTTAATTGGTTAAGTTCAATATATGCCATGCAGCATTTAGGAGAAAGAGGTGGGTTTCCTACATATTATCAGATTTTTCTGATAGGGGTGGGTTTACCAAGAAGCTTGGGAATGACTACGGTTTGCTTGAAAACTGCTTGTTGCCCCCACATCCAGGGGTTTAGGGCTCTGTGAGGTTCCGGGGGCACTGAGGGAGTGAAGGGTACATTCGGGATGTTGCAGGCAGGATGCTGCCACTTCTCAGCCTGGAAGTGGTCCCCCCAGAGCTCAGCCCGTCACTCCAGGGGCTAGTAGTTCACTGGGGAAGGCACTGAAAGCAAGAAGGTGTCAGAGAGAACCTGTGGCTGGTGGTGACCCTTAGTAATGTAACAACAACAGTAGCCAACACAGGCAGTGCACGCCACCGGCCGGGCCCTGTCCTGGGTAGTGTACACACATTAAGTCACTGTTCATTTTTGAGATCTGGGAGGGAAATCCACTGGGAGGAAGCAGTGGCCGCGGCAGGAATTGCAGTGAGCCTGGGCCAGGGGGGTGGGGGGGGGGGGGGGGTGCGGCACTCCCTTCCTGATCGGAGCTCTGAGTGTGAATGTGTGGGTGTGGCTGGCCTTCGTGCACACAGGCACTTTCGCTCCTTTCCCTTGCAAAAGAATACAGGTCGTGCATGGTCCAAGAGGCGGCCCGGGGAGCTACGGTGCTCAGTTACACAGGCGGCATCAGTATGAACATGGGACCTGAGCAACGGACCCTGAGGCTGTTCTCACTGGGAGCTCAGCTTTGCTCCTGTGCCCTTTCTGAGAACAACGGCTATGCTGGCGTGGGAGACACTTGGGCTGAGGTGTAGCTGTTACACGGGTCAGAAATGAACATCCGCCCCTCGGACTGAGCAGGGAGGAGAGTAGATTTAGATTGATTCATTTTTAAGATATTTTTAATGAAATTAACATATATTCACTAGAAATAGATACACAGAAGTAAAAATAAGAAAAAAGTTGATATATAATCTTACAACCGAAGAATAACTACTATTATTATTTTAGAGTGTATCCTCCCAGTATTTTCAAAAACAGGATCACATTATATTCCTTTTTTAGTCTTTTTTTTTTTTTTTTTTTGCTTTTTCTCCCCAAACCCCCCCAGTATGTAGTTGTATATTTTAGTTGTGGGTCCTTCTAGTTGTGGCATGTGGGACACCACCTCATTGTGGCCTGATGAGCGGTGCCATGTTCGTGCCCAGGATCCGAACCAGCGAAACTCTGGGCCGCTGAAGTGGAGCGTACAAACTTAACCACTCGGCCACAGGGCCGGCCCCTCAGTCCATTTTTTTTTTACTTTAACAATAGATGTGAACATTTCCCGAGATGTTATTTCCAATAGCAGGCTGTGTTTCCACACAGCAGATATACCATCCTTTATTCGCTGTCCATTTGATGGGTGTAGAGGCTGTCACAGTTTTACTATGTTAAATAACACTGCGATGGACATCTCTTGTATACAGACATGATTATTTCCTAGAAATGGAGACACTAGGTCAGAGCATGTGAATATTTTTAGATTTCAGCCTCATTGCTGAATTGGCCTATTGAGATGTTTTTGTTTGGTTGGTTGGTTTTTGATTTATTTTGGTTGTAGTTCAGGGTTGGGCGTGGAGCCAGCATGGACGATGACATACAGTCAGAAGTAAGCCTTGTGCAGGTTCTCTGCATTTTAGGGCGTGAGCTTATGGCCACCTGGAGCCAAGGAGAGGTCACTCCCTTCCTGGGAGTGTAGAATTCTGGAAAGAACAGTGCTGGGAGCACCTCCACCTTCCAGCGAGGTATTCGGCACTGGGCCGGTCAGGAAACAGGAAACCAGGCAGGTTCTATTCAGCCCGGGACCTGAACCTCGTGACACCGGCCTCCCAGCTGCTTTTACGTGCCAAGCAGCGAAGGGACAAACCAGCTCACCCTGCCCGCTTCCTCTCTGTGGACCCGCCATGAGAACACTCTGTTTTGCACTTGAAGTATGCCTTGACCTCTCTGTGTCCCGGTAATTGCCCCCACAAAATGGTCCAGGCACTAAGTGAAAACTTCCTGTACTTAGAGACCCAGTCCTGCCTGCTTTTCAGAGCTGCTGTTGACACAGGAGGACCACAGCTCTGCCACTCTGTAGAGAGACCATTGAGAGATGGGTTTGGTGGGCCTGGTGCCACCCAGGAGGGAAAGAGCACTTGAGGGTGGACAGGAAAAGTCCAGGCCCAGGAGAGGCCCTGGGGAGCTGACTGCGGGCTGGAGCTTCTGTCCAGGTGACCCAGCATCACGGCATCGGCGCCACGGGCCCACGATGTGCAGATTCAGGCCCACGATGATCCAGGCTTTCCCTTTTCTCATCTGTCTTTCTGTTTTGGTCTGTAGAGAAAGAAGAATTAATCCAGAGCGTGCTGACCCAGGTTGCAGAGCAGTTCTCAAGGTACAGAATCTTCCAGAGATACCACCTCCAGAGATGTGCACCTTTTCTTTTCATGGCTGTGGTGGGTCCCTGGCTCTGAGGCTGTCTCAGCCGGCAGGCCCTGAGACATCACTTCCCCGGGGTTTGACTTCGGTAACTAAGCCAGCTTGGATGGGGTCCAGGAAACGCTCGCCTTGCACCAAAGACCATGTACCAAGTGCGTCCTTTTAGAACCAGAGCTCATGTTGCTGAGAATTTTCTCAGCGGGTTCTTCCGGGAGTCGGAGTTCAACCCACAAAAATTGACACCATTTTTACAAATAAGCTTTCTCACGGAGATCCTGGGTAGCTTGGGGCTTCCTTTTCATTCCGAGTTACCCTGCCCATTCTGAAGGCGATGCTCCCAATTGTGTTATTTCACGTGGCATCTCGCCGCCCCAGGATAATGAAGACGGAGAAAGGGCACGTGGGTGGTACTATCTTTTTTTTTTTTTTAAGATTTTATTTTTTTCCTTTTTCTCCCCAAAGCCCCCCAGTACATAGTTGTGTATTCTTCATTGTGGGTCCTTCTAGTTGTGGCATGTGGAACGCTGTCTCAGCGTGGTTTGATGAGCAGTGCCATGTCCGTGTTCAGGATTCGAACCAACGAAACACTGGGCCACCTGCAGCAGAGTGCGCGAACTTAACCACTCGGCCACGGGGCCAGCCCTGGGTGGTACTGTCTTGAAGCCCAAGAGTTGTTGAGCCAAATGGGTTGTACCCTGGAGAGGATACATCAGGCGCCCTGAAGGCGCTCTGTGCCCAGCGGGCAGTGGGCAGGGGCTGGGCCATCCCAGCTGTGAACAGAGGCCACCGGGTCCTTCCCGGAGAGCACACGCTCCCTGCCCAGGTGTGTGGGAGTAAACATGCCCAGCAGCAGGGCAGGCCCCGTGCTCTGTCCTGGGCAGTACACCCTCGAGATGATTTGAGGGTGTGTCTCCCCCACACACACACTGTGAGTTCCTGAAAACCACCCCTAGCATTTCTGTGCCTGCCCCTCCCCGGCGCACCTGGAGGCCTCGCCCACGGCAGGGGTTCCACAGATGTGTGCTGAACCCGCTTTCACTTTGAGCATTTTACCAGCTATAATTTGTCTTTTTTTTTCTTTCCTAGAGCCTTTAAAATCAACGAACTGAAGGCCGAAGTTGCGAATCACTTGGCAGTGCTGGAGAAACGAGTGGAATGTGAGTGGGGATGGTTTTCTTTCTGTCTCTCCGTCTTTTCACCTCTTGTTAAATTAATCTCTTAAACCAGTGGTGAGTGGGGAAGGGAGGGGAGGGGAGGCTGAAGGTACGTAGCAATGTCTTTTCTTTGTGAGATGCCTGAAAGTTACCTTTGATCTTAACAAAGGCTGGAACAGTGACTGATCTAAGCACTTTATTTCCATTAAAAGTAACTTGGTGACGCGTGACACGTTACTGGTGCACGGTAACTTGCGGCGTGCTGCATGTTTCGGTGGCACAGGACACAGGAGAGCATTCTTTCAGTGCAGAAGGTGCAGAAGGAGAACCCAAGGCCCCCAGACTTAGCCCTCTCGGGCGAGGAACTTATGTTGCATATCCTTGTGTGAGTCTCTTTTTACATAAATGGGGACACGCCGACCCACGCTCTCTGATTTCACAATGGTTTTGGACTGTCTACTAAATCATCACCTCTTGGTTCCCAGTCATCAGCCAGGAAAGCAGAGAAACTACTGGGTAAGCGAAAAAGAGTCCATTCGACTCTTGATTCAATGGCCAAACAGCTGAAACGCTGTGAGGAACTCAGCCTCCAGCCATTCACCCTAGCATCCCCATCCGTAAGATAAGAAGCGATCTTGAATTCCACATGCCTCATGGTTCTGCATTCAACTCACAGCGTGCGAGGCTCTTTGTCAATGTCGAGTCCAAGGTCAGCGATCCACGGGCACTGTATTTATTAACTTCGGGGATGAGTAAACAAACCCCAAAAAGAGGGCATCGAGGTTGTGATCTCACCAAACACTCTCTGATTGATTCGTATGTGTAGGACACTCTGGAGCTCGCTGTTCGTATCGTGCAGGAATTGCTCAGGATTTTTCGGGAAAAAAATTCAGGGTCCTGCAAAATGGATCACCTAAATAACTTGAAACAGGATTTACATAGTCTTCCTTTTCAAAGTGCGTTGACATTTTTCAAATCCATTTGGTCATTCGATCTTCAGAACAGCTTTATTCTCCTGATTGATGATGAGGAAGTCTCAAAGATGAAGTGAGCTGCTCATACAGCAGATGGGACCAGCACCGGGGTCCTGGCTGGGCTGCTGTCAGCGTCACCGTCCTCCACACCTGGCTAAAGAGGCTGGGCCCCTCGAGGAGGCCTGAGAACTCAGGTCTGAAGCAGGCTGTGGCCACCGGCCGTGGCTGCATTGAACAGAAAAGGGGTTTCTCCTAAAGGACTTTTGGTGGCTCCCTGGATCAGCAGGAGGGCTCAGGAACAGGGCCCAGTGGCTGTACAGCAGGAACAGCGCCCCAAATCCTACGCAGAGCTGACACCGTGAGGATGCTGGTCTGTTGTATCTGAGCCCCAGGCATACGTACCTCCTCTGGCACCCCACACTCTATGCTCAGGCCCCCCACAATCCCCATGGGCCTGCAGTCACCAGGCTGCTTCTCCATGTCCTGGCTGCAGATTCAGAGGTCTGAACACAGCTGGACCATATGCCCACATCCTAGCTGGGGGGCGGCCAGAGGAATTGAGTGTGTTAGTTTCCTGTGGTTCTCATAACCAAGTACCAGACACTGGGTGCTTAAGACTACAGAAATGGGTTCTCGCACAGTTCTGGAGGCCAGAAGTCTGAGGTCAAGGTGTCGGCAGGGTCAGTTCCCGCTGAAGCCTCTGGGGGAACATCTGTCCCAGGCCTCCTCTAGCTTCTAGTGGCTGCCGGCCACCCTTGGCCTGTGGCCGCATCGCTCCAAGCTGCCTCCACCTTCACACGGCCTCCCCACTGTGTCTCAAGTGTCCTGTCTCCTATGAGAACATCTGTCCTTGGATTTAGGGCTCACTCTAAATCCAGGACAAGCTCATCTCATGATCCTTAATTGATTATATCCACCAAGGATGTTTTTCTAAATAAGGGCCCACTCACGGGTTCTGAGGCTCAGGATGTGAGCGTATCTTTTGGGGGGCCACATTTCAGCCCACTCTAGTGAGCATTTAGTATTTCCATCTTCCACAGCAGGAGGCGAGCTCAGCTTCCCACCAAGCCCCATAGAGTAGGGAATTCTCCAGACACTGGAAGGGGTTCAGCCAAAGAACACAAGCACCGTTCACTGCCGGGTCACCCTCTACATTTACAGAGGCGAGAGGTCGCGCCATCACTGCCCGGCATGCAGATGCGTCCGGGCAGCAGGTGCCTCCTGCCTCTCCGCCATCTCCTCCAGCTCCTTCAGCTTCTTCCCCAGCTTGGCTTGTCTCCCACGCCCCACACAGAAGCCAGCTCCAGCGCCCGCCGTTACTCTTCCCATAAAGTGCAAACAGGCAAGTTGAAGAGGTCATTAAGGAATTTTCAAAACACCTACAGAGGGCTGCGCTGACCTCAATTTGTGTGGCTTCCAATATCTGGCCGTGGTGACAACCATCAGGCCGAGAAGAATTTTTATTTTGCCTTCAAGTGGCATGTGAGTTGAGCACCGCTAAAGGACGCAGCCCGTATGACCTTCTTCCCTGGTCTGTCCTAGCCCCAGAAGTCTCCAGAACTGGCTCGATCCTCAGAGGGAAAGCATCTCCCATAGGGCTCTTGTGTAAATCATATAAATCATGCAAATGCGCATAGACTGCCTGGAAGGTGGCCTCACCCACTGAGCTCAGACAGGGACATAGATGGAAATTACTGGCATTTCTACTAGCTGTGCTCATTTCCAGCACTGCAGACCTCGGCATCACAGGAATGGGATCAAGGGAGTCAGGAGAGAGGAGGGAACTGTCTACGAGCTCAGACTAAGGGAGCAGTGGCTTGGCAGTGGTCAGTGGGAAGTGTGGGTGGTGGGTTCCCCCAACAGCCCCACTTTGGTGCCTCTCCCCCACGTCAGCCCCTGGCACCCTCACCTCCTCCTGGATGCCCGCCTCTCCCCATGCACATGGCCATGTAGGTCCACACGCCCAGGAGGTGGCCATGGTTCAGATGGGCTCATGTCCTCCTTGAACTCCACCTGTCTTTGGGTGCATCCTCCGCTGGTACTCCTGGCTGACCACTTCCCAGTGTCCAACAGCCTCTGCTTTAGCACGAAGGGCTGGGGGGCCTCACCTGTGCTGAGTCTGGGGGGACGGGCTCCAGAGAGCCTGCCCAGAGACAGCAATGCCTGAACCCAAAGATGTGAGTCACTGGGACATGGCAGGTACCTGGAAGGGGAAAGGGGGTCCAGCAGCCAGACCTGTCACGCAGGTCATTGGGGAACTGGTCATCCCAGCTACTCGGATGGTCAGTCCTGAGCTGGCACAGCTGCCAGAAAGCAAGCTGGCCTGGGCTGTTGGACAGGGAAGGCTGCCAGGAGCACAATTGCCATGCTGCTCCACTGGGCCTGGGCCCAGATATCTGTCACACACACACACACACATAAACAGAGAGACACAGGCACACGCACTCACACACATCCACCCCCACATGCACACACATGTACACGCAGAGACACAGGGGCACATATACTGTGCTTGCACGCACACGTGCTATCGGTACATAGGAGCTGTTATTAGCGTTTTCTGTTCCTTGAGTTCAGGGAGGCATCCTGCTAGCACTGGTCATCTTTAAGCCACATTACATTGGTTTGACTTGTTTTAAATGGAATTTCCTGCTTATTTTTTGACCTTCTCAAACATAGAATTCTTCTGACTCAAATATAAATTTCTCCATTTCTCTTACTTCGCTTTCAAAGCTTTTCTTCCTTTTTATATAAAATATTCGCCTCCTCCAAAGAGTCCGGAGTCTCCCTTAGCTTAGAGATGATTTCATAAACTCAGGACACCCAAGGCCTCATCTCCTTCCTGGTTGGAGATGAAATGCCGCAGGGAGCCTCACTTCCTTCCTTCCTTGCTTTTTGGACACTGGCCGCTATGCCTGCACCCTGCGGCCGGGCACAGGACAGCCCTGCTCCCGTCCAGCCTTTGTCCCTGTGCCACGGCAAGAGCTGGCCCCGTGGGACGATGTTGAATGCCACAGGGGCATGCAAACAACACAGGACTCCACGCTGAACCAAAGCTCGTTTTCTCTTTGTCACTTGGGAACATGTTTTATGCAAATTCATTCCCCGAAGTCCTTGGGGGAAGCATTGAAACACCTCTATTCACACGCGTCTTTAAACAACTGTCATCAGCTCTGAAGCGAAGGAGGGCCCAGCAGGCGGCAGAGGCGAGAGCAGAACCACCTCCCAACCCGCTCTGCTCCTGCCGCCAGGGACCCTGCTGAAGCCCACATCCCTCTTGGAAAATCACTCTTGATGGTCCTCCTTCAGGGTGGCCTGTGACTCGCAAGGAGCCCACAAAACCACGTCTACAGTCTGAGAGAGGACAGCCAGGTTTCCAGACCGTGCTAACACTGCGAGTCAGCCCGTCTGGGGGCCCGCGCCTGGTCGGGGGAATAAACAGGGACCCGCCAGTGCTGGCTGGGGCTGGGGGCCTCTGCTGCTGTTTGGGGTCTGGTCTGTGCCCACCTATGCTAAAGTTCAAGGCAGACAAGTGGGGCCTCGAGACATCCAGTCTCGACTATGGAGACCTCACCAGGGTCTGTGCTGGAGACCTGAGGGGTGAGGCCCCTGCTCCTGGCATGGGGCAAAGCAGAGCTGGAGTGGGTCAGCGAGGGGAGCTGTGGAATCTTCCAGAAGGCAGCCAGGTGTCGGGAAGGGACTGGGAGGCAGGAGCCCAGGTCTGCTGGTGCCCGAATCTGCCCTGCGCTCTCTCACTGGCTCCAGGCGTCGCCCTCTGCGTTCCGGCTCTTTAATCCCATGACGTGCTGGTTTTCTCCTCCATTGACTAATGCACAACTTCTGCCATCTTGTTACTCACTATCAATTTCCTTGGCAACCAGGCTCTTCATAAACATAATTGCCGTAAATTCTGAATCTCTGGGGTTCAAATTAGTGATATTGTAGCGTGTTGCCCAAAAGGCTTAATTTGAACATCATCCCAAGAAATGACCAGGAAATCTGATCTATGTCAGCTCCAACAACGACATCGTCAAACATGCACCCCTCCAAAAGCCACGAGCCAGGAGGCAGCTGCTAACACGGGGAGCATCCTTGACTTACTGGTAAGGGGGAAAAAGCAGACGAGAAAACAGTACAAATAGCAGGATCCCAATTTTGTCTTTGTAAAATTAACAATAGACAGATAGATATTTAGAATACATGGGGGGTGATATTTAGAATACATGGGGGGTGGAGAGAAATGCCTGGAAGGATACACACCAATATAATGTTAACTTATATTAAATATAAATATAATATTAATATTAAATTATAATATTATGTCTGTTTTATAATATATTATCTATTATATTTTATGTAAATAATGTTATTGTATTAAATATTATAATATTTAATATAAAAATATTAAATTAATATTAAATATTAAACAAAATAATATAATATTAAATGAGCTGTTTTCTGGACCAATAGGATCACAGGTCAATTTTTAAATTTTCTTCTTGGAGCTGCTCTGTATTTCCTCCGTTGTCTACAACGATCATGTTATTCTGTATTCAGAGAAACGATGTCTAAAGCATCAAGAATGTAGCCATGGGCCTTGAGTGGCAGGGCACAGCTGCCCTGTTTGCACTCTGCACTGCCTGCGCCCTCTCTTCCCCATGTCTGTTCACTCTCTGGGTCAAAGTCTGTGCCAGGTCTCTTCTCCAGCTCTGTTCACTTTCTGGAATTTTCTGCCCCTCACATGTCAACAAGCCTGGGCTCCTTCTTGCCGCTGTTGTTGAACCTGCCATTTGCCGACGTCAGTGTCCTAGCGGTAAACCCACAGACGCAGCTCCCCTGGGCTTCCCTTCTCCATGGGCTGAGCATCCTGCAGTGAGGTCCACGGCCTGGGGGTGCCCTGGGAGGCCGAGGCCTGCTCCTGGTCCTCCTACAAACTGTAAAAGGGGTGTGCTTGTGTGCCTTTTCTCAGATGAAGACCCATGGCTTTCATCTACTTCCTGACAGGGTCCGTGATGCAAGAAAGCACTAAGAACAGCCCACTCCAAGGGGAGGCTGTGGGCTCTCAGTGCCTGGAGACATGCCCAGGGTCGAGCTCCCTGCCTTTCCCCACCTCGCTGGTTCCAAGCTCTTGCATTTCAGGCCCCCTCTTTGGTCCCCTTGTCGTGGTGGAGGAGGGGCAGAGAAGGCTTTTGAGCTTCCTGCACAGCCACCTGTGCCTGGCACAGAAGCAAGTCACCAGGACCAGATCTGAATGTCGGATTCTCCAGATTCCCATCACTTTGGGCAGAAAGATGAAATGTTTTCATGTAACCTTGCCCCTGCTTGGCCCCTGACCCGGAAGTGTTTAGAAAACCTGCCCAGGGAGGTTCTGGTTCCAGCCGGGCTGCTGGGGCACTGCCCTCGCATTATGTCCCCGGCACACGCTCCAGAGCTGCAGTGGCTCCTGCAGGGGTGGGGGAAGTGTTGGAACCAGCAAAGACGCGGAGTTGCTTTGCTTCTGTTTTAGAAGTCACCCGCGTTTTATTTTTAGCATATGCAGAGCCACGCTTGATGATAAGGGGAATAGAGTGACACCGTGGGTGGTATCTTTCTGCCTAAAATTCCGGGTGTGATCACCAAGTAACGAAGCTAATCTTCCTTATGTCTTGTGAACTGACACTCAGCTAAAAGCCTTCCGAAGCCGCTCGCCCCGTGGCGGCGTTTCCGGGCTGGCTGTGCCGCCTGCCAGAGGGAGCGTCCTGAAGGTGAACACTCGCTTGGAGGCAGAAGCTCCAGATGATTCTTTGATGGAAGCTGGTGTCCTGACTTGTAAGGCACACCTCTGCATGGCCTCCCAGAAGGGGATCAAGCCTGGGTTCTGCTCATCCTTAACTCGGCCTGTTTAGTTCTCATCCGTTCTAAGTCAACACTTTCTCCTGTTAACGGCTCCAGCGAGGACCTTGAAACGAAAAGCTTTCATCTCCATGAAACTTTCCTCCTTGCTAGGAAGGCTGCCCGCTGCCCCTTCATTGCATTTTAACGCTCTGGGGCCACAAATCTCCCCCTTTCTTTCCTTTTTGAGATAAAAGACTTCTTTGTCTCGTGTGCTCAGCTGGTGCTGAGGGGTATGGAGAAAGGAAGCAAGAAGAATCGAGGTTCAGGGAGCGGGGGGCAGGAGGGGCGTCCGTCCTATAGAAACCACGTGGACAAATGCCGTAGAACAGGCCTGTGATGTTAGAGTCCGCTGTGGCTGAGCCGAGTGAGAGGCGAGACCTGACTATCGGCAGCCTGGGCGGGAGTGGGATCCACCACACGGAGCCAGCTTGCCTCCTTGGGACACGGGGAGCTGTGGGCTGGCCCCCCGTTACCAGCCTTGCAAGATCCTGCACATGTGTCCCTGGTAACCCTTTTGTTTCTCTGTGTTGCCAGTGGAAGGACTAAAAGTGGTGGAGATCGAGAAATGCAAGAGTGACATTAAAAAGATGAGGGAGGAGCTGGCAGCCAGAAGCAACAGGTAAGGTCTGCGCTGGGGGAGCCCAAGGGCAGGTGGGCTCGGGGAGAGCTCCACGTGTACAGCCGGGGCAGGGGCGTGCGCTTTGTCCTCCCTAAAGCGAGGCTGGAGCTGTCTGATCCAGCGCTGGCCGGGCTGAGCGCGGTCTGGAGGCAGCCCTGCTCCACTGGGGACTTGCTTTTGAATTACACAGCTTTCGTGTCATGAAAGAGGGTTTATGGCGGATGGAGGCTGGGAGCACGACTTCTTGAAAAAGGCAGATGATTCTCCTGCAGATCAAAGTGTGGGATTAACTTACCCAGCGTGAAAGACGTTGACATCAATTTTTAAAGAAAGAGAACAATAGAAAGAAAAAGGCGGTTGGCTTGCAGGGGACGAGTGTCCTCGTGCCCCAGAGACCCCACTCCCATTGGACGTTCCCACAGCACAGGACACAGGTCAGGGGAGCAATGCCCTGAGGTCTCCAGCCGTTCTGGACACAGACCTCACTTGTCCTGTGGAACCAGGGTCCCTCTGCATGTGCCCCTGGGGAGCCAGCGTGAGGTGGCCCAGGGTGCCAAAATTCTTGAAGACGGTGCCCCAGGCTTCATCACATCTCCTTGAAAACAGTTTTCTTTGTTAACAGGACCCTCTGCCAAAACCGTGGTCACAGTAAATGTTCAGGTTGAGGGCAGAGATGCACAATGAGAGCAAAGATGATGATGGATAGCACACGCATTGAGCGCTCACTGTATGCGGGGCTGTGCCAAGCACTCTGCTTACAAGCACCAGCTCACTCCTGTCTGCTCTCCTGGGTTCTCTTCACTCCCCTGGGACCCATCCAGGAGACCCCATGGTTATAATGTGGCCCATCCCCCAACCCTGCGGGCGCACACCGCTGCAGACTGCCGAGGTCACAGCTGTCCTCAGCAGTATTTTATGGGGACTGATGAACCTAGAGACAGCCCTGTGCAAATGCAGCATGTCGTTTTATGCAGAGTCACCTACCAGAATGAAGAGCATTCCCTGATTTTAAAAAATTGAGGGCAGCCTTCTTAGTTGGGGAGTGTGGCTTCCTGGAAGGGTCTTCAGGGGCCAGGAGGCGGAGGGAAAGCTGATGTTCACAGCTCTGTCCCATCCGAGTCCAGTGAGGCTGGCCGGCCTCAGAGCGGGCTCAGGGAGTGGCCTGACGGGCTCAGAGTCACGTTAACATGTGTCTTATGCAGACCATGCTGTATTGATGTCACACTTACTAGGCAGCTAATTAGGATGTCGGGATGTTTCATCTCATTTGATTTGGGGGAAGTTGGGGCAAAGGAGTTAGTGACCACAGAAAACTGAGCGAGTAATTCATCTTTGCCATCCCGTAGTGGATGGAGGAGGCTCTTTAGGCAACTTGGCATGAGTCCGCCCTGTGATCCATAAGAGCCCTGGAGTTGCACGGGGCAGCCATGCAGCTGGGCCCCCGGAGCTGGGAACTGGGTCGGCGGCTGAAGGATGCTCAGACTCACAGTGCCCCTGGTCATGCGTGGCTCAGCTCAGCCCACTGGCCACCCCCTGTGCCCTAGCTGCCACACGCTGGACCTCCATCCTGTGGCCAGTCCTAACACCCAAGTGAGAAGTGCCAACTAGCCAGGCTCCTCTCCGACCGGCCTCACACTGGCTGCCTGTGGCTGAGTGCCGCGTCTGCTGTGCTGAGAGGGAGGTGTCCACAGGGTGCCCATCAGGGCCATGTGCTCCCGGAATCACCTGGCGCAGCTGCCCTCTGCCCAGGGCCAGGTTGGGGCAGGATGCCTCGGAAGGGGACTGTGGGTCCAACGCTGCCGGCATTACCAGCCTCATCTGGCAGCACTGGGAGAAGAGGATTAAAGCCTGAAACTGAAGTTTCCCCGAGCCTTCTTGGCTTCAGTCCCCCGTCTGTGCAATGGGCTGGAGAACCCCTCCACCCAGAGGGTGTGTGTCTTGGGCTGGATTGGTGCCACCTCTGTGGGCATCACCCCCACACACCTGTGCTCATCCACAGGACCCACAGAGCACTTGTGGGGGGCGTTTTTAGAATGCAGCTTCTCATCCCTCCTCAAATGACTAAACCCTGCCCCCCGCCTGGAGCAGCCAGGCTGAGTCCTGAGCCCCCGGCCTCACTGGCCCTATGCCTGCCGGCTCCCAGCCCCCTCGGCTCCTCCACCCTCCTCCCCTTCTGCGGAAGCAGCATGGGCCCCAGGGAGGGAGTGCCGCTTCTGGTGTGCTCTTTGCATGCACTGGCCCTGCGGTTCAGGTTGCAGGGAAAAACCAATTTTATCCACGCCGTGGTAGCTTCCTGTGGCTGCTGTGACAAAGCCCCACAGACTAGGGGCTTCAAACAACACTAATTTACTCTCTCACAGTTCCCGAGGCCAGAAGTCCAAGATCAGGGTGCCAGGAGGGCCAAGCTGCCCCGGAGCCTTGAGGGGGGTCTATCTCCAGCCTCTGGGGGTGGCCAGCAATTCTTGAGATTCCTTGGCTTGTAGAGGCCTCACTCCATCCCTGCCTCTGTCTTCCCTTGGTCTTCTCCTGGTGTCTCTTTGTCCAAATGTCCCCGTTTTAAAAGGACCCCAGTCATTGTTGGATTTAGGGCCGACTCTATTCCAATCTGACCTCATCTTAACTAGTCACGTCTGCGATGACCCTATTTCAAATTAGGTCACATTCACAGGTACTGGGGTGAGGGTGGGGGGTTAGGAATTCAACGTATGACTTTGGGGGCACAATGCAACCCGTGACACACCACGTGGGGAAGATACACCCAACTTCAGAGCCCGCGGGAGGAAACCCACTGCGAGCCAGGAGACCAGGCGTCACCTGCAGCCGCCCCCAGGGAGGGTGGGCTGAGCGGAGGCCTGGTGGGCGCTTGGGCCCACCCGAGGAATGAGGCCTCTTCATCACTCCCCCAAGAAGTCCATTTTTAGAGCTCACAGCGCCGTAATCTAGAGAAGACGCCCCAGCGCCCTGTCCGCCTCTAGAGGAGATATTCTCAGCAGACGGTTTTCACAGCATCCCACGTAGGTGAGAGACGGGTAAAGGGGACTCTTCAATCAGAAATGGAACGGGGTAAAAAGCTCGAACGTTGCTGACGCAGGTGGAAAAGAGAAACCCAGCACTGGGCTCAGGTCTGATCCACAGCAGCACAGCTCCCCTCGGACCCTGGTCCGGGAGCCCAGCAGCCTCTGTGCCCCACACGAACAGTGCTTCGCTTTTCTTTATGGGGAAACAAATTCCGATAGAGAACTGTGAGCCGTTTGGCAACCCCTTCTGTCTCTGCTGACGGTAGCTTCCATTTTGATCATGTGAGGGTGCCATGTGACGATTTAGCGTCCCCGAGACCCGGCCTGTTAAAATGGGACTTCGCCGGGACTGCCGGGGAGAAATTGCACCACAGAGCAGCTCTTTCTGGCTATATCAACCCAGCCGGTTGGAGATCTTGCCTGTTTGGGAAAGCAGAAGAGACAAAGGCACCAGGCCGGGTTGAGCCCAGCCCTGCACCCACACAGATGGCTGATGAGCCTGAAGTGCTGACCCACTTTCGCCCACACAGCGCACCCCAGCAGGGCCTCGGAGCCAGGGGTCTGCGTGGACCAGAACTGCCCTTTCTTCTCGGGGAGTAGCGGGTGGCAGGCAGGGCGTGTGCAAGCTCACAAACACCCCCAGATCAGGCTGCACCCCCACAAGAGGAAAGATGCCCAATTGCCTGCTCACACTTAGGGCGGGGCCAGGCCTCGCTGAGGGCCCCCAGCACCGAGCCAGCACAGAGTGGAGCTTGCTGGTTTCCCCAGAGCAGGGGAGGGCTGCAGGAGCATCCAGAAGCATCTGATGGCTCTGGGGGTCTGTAATGTCCACTTTCATCGGGAACAAATGGCCTTGACCGCTGACTGAGCCCCAGGGGAGGGGAGGCTGGGAGCCCGGAAAACGAAAGGAAAAATAAGCCCCAAACAGAATGAAAAGAAAAGGCACCAGCCAGCTGCTCTATCCACTGGAGGATGCTGGTTCCCGTGGCAACGGGTCGCAGAGGGAGCAGGCAGAGGCCGCCTGGCAAGGTGGGGAGGCCCCGGCAGGAGTCACCAGGCATCCAGCAGACGCTCTCAACGCTGGGATTTTCGAGGAAGCAGCTGGATTCTAACAGATTTCATCTTGCTTGGTGAAGGCTTCCACAGCCCTCCTGGGAAATGAGCAGGACTTACCTGGGTGGCACCTGTGTAGCTGTTTATACAAAAGAGGTTAAAAGCAGAAAAGAAATCATGATGATACTATCTATTTCCTTAAGTGCACAGACCAAGCGTGTCACTGCTCAGAAGTGTGTCAGTGGGATTTCTCGTTGACACGGGGCCCATGGAAATCATTTGGTTGGTCCCTCTCATTGGTTCGTTTTGTTGTCCTCCTGCTAAATCTGTGTTAACATCCCCCTGTGCACATTAAGCTGTCATAAGCAACTCTGATGATTTTTGCAAGCAAAGAAAATAATACTGAAGACTCCTTTTTCAAAAAGGGCGTAGATTTGTTATTCTGAGTTTGCAAGTAGCATAGCCTTCTTGTAAAACCTCCAGACCATACTGACGAGAGGGTGAATCACCAGTGATGACAGCAGCCACAATGTCCCCAGTTGAAAGCTGGATGCCGAGCTTCCCAGATGTTTTTGTACGCGTAGATATCTTGTTTTGAAAAACAACTAAGAAATACTGTGTTGTAATCTGTTTTCACTTACAACATCGAGAACAATAAATAGGTCAGTTTTAGCCGACATAAATAGCTCATACTTTTTTTCAGAAACCCACAGTCCAGCACTCATTTTTCACCCACCAAATGTGTCTTTTTTCCTCATAGAAAAAAATGCGTTTCCTTTCAGTACATACTGTATGCAACATTTCTCTTCCCTTTTCACCTAAAATTCCCTCACTTCACATAATAACTCATAATTATCTTAAAGATCACATAATGGTCCATCTTGTTGATGTACCGTAATGGTTTACATTATTTCCCATTTGGAAAGATTAAGGTGGTATGTGGTTTGGTTTTGTGTTTTTGTAACAACAGATAACACTGCGATGAATACCTTTGTGCATGGAGCTGTTTGCTTGCATCTAATTCTTTTCTTAAAATAAATTCCCCAGAGTTGACTTCCTGGCTTAAAGGATGTGAATTTCTTGGTGGCTCTTACTATACTGTATTAACTTGCTCTCCCAGAGGATGAACATCATTTGCAAATCGCAGGAGCTTCCACTGTTCACCTGGATGTGCTGGTCCCCTGCCCACCAGCCTGGGAATCTCAACCAAGGGGGTGTGGATCCCCCATCTTGCTCCCCGATCAGTCGGAGGATGGAGAGCATGTTCACGTCCAAGAAAGTTAAGGTCCCAGGTGGGGAGGAGGCCAAGGACAGCCAGATCTCCTGGGGAAGCCCCCACGTCCAGCCGCAAAGGCCAACACACTCTCCCTTGCTATCAGCAGGTGGCTTTCCCTCCAAAACACGCCTGGCTCCTTCTGTTCTGTTCTTATGTGGGATAACTTGATATGGAGTAATGAAGAAAAACAGAGTCAGATTGCAAATTCGTCCTTCAACATATATGTAATGGGGAAAATTGGACACATCCTGAAAGTCCATCTTGGGGACTGGATTGGTAGCCTGTGGTGCAGCCACACCTGAAGGACCAGAGGACAATGTGCTTTTTCATGAAGTTGAGCTCTGAAGCGACACACGATGAGTTTGTGATAGGTTAAATGAAAAAAAAACTTTATGAAAGAATAAGTTTAGTTCAATTCCGTCTTTGTTTAGAAGCACAAGAGGCTGTGCATGTGTGTCTATACCTAGGAAAATTTCAGAAAGATACCCCAAATTGTTAACAGAGGGTGTTTCCATGCTGTGGGATTTAAAAGAAAGAAGTGGGTGAACTGGGGATTTAGATTTTTTTTTTTACTTTATCTACTTTCATGTTATTCAAATTTTTTAGAATAAAAGTGTTTTGCTTGCATTATTAAAAAACGATTTTTAGAAGCTTGTCTAAAATGAAGATGGCGTGTTTTCCAAGAGCCCAATATTATCTCGGGAGGTCCAGGCCGTGTCCCTGGGGGTTCACAATGAGATGTTACAGGCTTTATGACTTATTCTCCTGTAACAGATGAGATCAAAGGGGAGTTGTACGGTTGGGTTTGGTTTGGTTTTAGGTCTTTTTGTTTGTTTTTGCTCTGTGGAGGTCCGCACAGTCAGCTGCCCAGGGGGACATAGGACCGAAGCTGCAATGCCAGAGCTGATCTTTTCCATTTCTCTGTAGGACCAGCTGTCCCTGTAAGTATAGCTTTTTGGACAACAGCAAGAAGTTGACACCTCGACGCGATGTCCCCACTTATCCCAAGGTAAGATAGAACGCTGCGTCTGAGCAACAGTAGCCCTGTGCCCACAGCCCGAGGGCACGGGCCCCCGACCCTGAGCCACCCTGGCCTCCTGGCCAGGCCCTGCTGTCTGCACCTTTGCCAAAGCAGTTCCCACCGCAGTCCGGGGCTGGGGAACCTTATTCTTAAGCAGAATATTTTTTCTCTTTGACATTTGTTTAGCAAAGTGGTCCCAGACCCTAGCTCCCTGTGCCAGGAGATAAGAGCTCCTCACTGGTGAGTGCCCGGCCCCCATCGCTGGCTTGGGTGAATGGTTTTTATACTCAAACATTATTTAAAGAACTTTCGTTTTTAACTAAATTATTTAAAAGCCATTTTGTTGGATCTCCTGTCCCTGAACAATATGTGGTTATTATGAGAAGTTTTGCCTTTTTGTCACAAAGATCTTTCCGTTCCATAGAGCCCCCCCGGGCCCTCATTAAAGTGGAAGTGCTCTGGGAATTGAGGCAGGTTCTTCAAACAGCCACAGAAGAAGGGTATCTTAATGGTGGTCGCCCATCTGGGGAGTGAGTGAAATCCTGGCCCAGCCGGTTTGAAACATTTTTGCTCTAAGATTCGGGCTCCCACTCGCTCATGCGCGTGTGCTGCAGACCAGAGGCCCGGGCCATCCACAGGGATGTCCTCCTCTGCCCGCGGTCCCCGAAGTGGCGAGGAGCCTCCTGGACCGTGTCGAGGTTCCCTCCCTCGGTTCCGAACGACACGCTAAGTGTCATCCGAGGTTTCCAGATGGACACTATCTCTGCCTTTTGCCCGAGGAAATTGTGGCCCAGATCTCTCCTCCTGCTCCAGGGAGGCACGAGGCCCAGCCTAGGTCTGAAATGAAAGGTGTCAGTCCTCCATAGCAGTTCCTTTTAAAAAAACAAACGAAAGACCTGCGAGAAGACTGTCTCTAATCCTGAAACACTGACTGTCCTGTGTCTAAGCCAGCCTTCTGCTTCCGACGACAGTTTAACCTGCACTGGTCTCCCGGGGAGCCAGCCCCTCTCTGCAGGCTGTGCTGGTTGAGCCCACAGCTAAACCAGTGACAGTTTCCCAGAGAAAAGGAAACTCAAAATAGCTTCTCAGCCAGTATCTGAATCTCTGCCAAGTCCATTTTTTTTTCCCTCGACTTCACTTTATCGTATTTTTTTAAGTCGGGATTATGGAGATGTCATTTGCGTGCAGCGAAGTTCATCTGCCGTAGGTGCAGAGTACTGGGAATTTTATGTGGTTGTGTAACCTCCACCACAATCAAGGCGTAGAACATTTCCATCGCCCCAAAACGTCCCCTCGTGCCCCTGTGTGGTCCATGCCTGGCCCGTGGCCAACCTCACCACCTCTGGCGACCACTGTTGGGATTTCTCTCCCTATAGCTTTGCCCTTTCCAGAATTCCTGTAGAATGTGGCCTTTGAGTCTGGCCACAGGTGTCCTTGAAAGAGGAACAAGGAGAAAGGAAAGAAAACCTGCATCGTCCCCCTGAGGTCACCAGCCTTTGTCTCAGCACAGAGGCCGCAGGTCCCCGGTTAACACTGAGCTCCTGTCCTCTCCAGTACCTGCTCTCTCCAGAGACGGTAGAAGCGCTCCGGAAGCCCACCTTTGACGTCTGGCTTTGGGAGCCCAATGAGGTGAGTGAGGGACCTCCCCTCAGACCCCAGCATCATGGGGACCTGACCTGGAGTACCCCCATGCCTCCTCCTCTTCGGCTTTCTCCTCTCTGTTCTTTGTATTTCAAGAGGGAGATTTCCCTGTCCTTTTTTTTCCCCCCAAAACCCCCTAGTACATAGTTGTATATTCTAGTTGTAGGTCCTTCTAGCTGTGCTGTGTGGGATGCTGCCTCAGCGTGGCCTGATGAGCAGTACCATGTCCGCGCCCAGGATCCCAAGTGGCGAAACCCTGGGCCGCCAAAGCAGAGTGTGCAAACTTACCCACTCGGCCGTGGGGCTGGACCCTCTCTGTTCTTTTTTAACTTGATTCTCCAGGTTTTAATTCACACTGACCCTTGGTAGGCTCAGGAAGGCCCTGAAGACAGAAGTCGGGAAGGGGTGTCAGAGCGGAGGAGCAGGCGGTAAGGTGCAGGGGCGCCAGCCCTCCAGGGAGCACCCTCCACGGGGCACCGTTGCGAGTCCCCAGGGCCATCTGCCAATCCTGCAAACGCCCTCGGCTCCCGCTGTTGTGCCCCCCGAGGAGCAAAGCCACAGAGGTGGACCCCACACTGTGGAGGAATATTTCAAGAAAGGGGCTTAACTGCTTAGTTCTGCTGGGAGCGGGTCGTCGGCACAGGCGGCCACGCGGCAGCCGGATAAGTGGAAGTGCAGGAGTGGGGGGACTGAGTCACTTTTGGCAGCAAGATATTGCTTTGAAATTTCCCTTTTGCTTTGAAAACACAAAAATGGAGAATTTTTCTTGTTAGTCTGGTTACCCAGTAATATCAATTCTCCCCTCTGTCTGAACCTGAAGGAAACAAAAAGTCCCTCCTCGTGGGCATCAGGCCCCCAAAATCTGCAGACTCTGCAACTTTTCAGTAACACAGAAATGCAGAAAGGCTGCCCCGGGTCAGCTCGTGCTTCGACAAGATCAGCCGCAGAGACATCTCTGCAGATCCCCGGAAGGTAGGGACCCTGTTCCCTGAGCATTCACCGTCACGGTCGCCAGGGCCTAGGACGCTGGCATCTCCTAAGTGAACCACTGTCATTCGCGTGGCTCCCAGCATAAGAAAAGCCTCAGCAACACCGGCCAGGATAGCGCAGATCCCGCCTCCACTGCACCCCGGTTCACTCTGAGAAGAGCCGCGTGCCAGCCTGTGTCTGAGGGGTTGTTCTGTAGCAGATGGGACCAGATGCCACGTGCACTCCAGCACATCCAGCCAGCAAGTGGCATGCAGGACGAGGAGCGTGGAAATTTAAGGAGGAGGAGGCGTTTGAAGTGTGCGGCCCTCACCTGCTGGGTCAGTGCATAATCAGAAACGAACCGGGAGTGTGGGAGACGGCATGGCCAGGAGACCTTCCCAGAGAAGCATTGGGACCTCTGGTCTCAACGGCACCCACTCAGCATGGGCCATGGGCTGGCCTGTCCACGGGCAGTAGACACAACAGCCTGGTTTAGAAAGCGTGGATTCCTGCTTCCAGCAGCTGGACAAGCACGGCTCCTGGAGCACATCTAGAAAATTCATGCTCCCCAAAGTCGTTTTGACTTCAGCCCACAGGGAGTAAGAGCAAAGCCCAGAGCCCCTGATGGCAAAGCCGCTTGGTGGAAACAGATGCTCGCTGCCATTCCTGCCTCCTCTGAGCACAGGGCTGCTTGTGGCCAGAGAGGGAATGCTGCCTTTACACATCCACGATGGGAAGGCCACCTCTCCATCCTCTGACACACAGGGCATGTGTACAGCTGCCGACAGCACCAGGGGTGCTGGGACCAGGGTGAAAGGAGCGAGGCAGCTCCCTACAGGTGGCCTTGGCCTCTGTGTGGGTATCTTCCGGCCGGAGCATCTGCAGCACATCTCACCAGCACCCGGGGCAACTGGTGAGGGGTTCTGGTGCTTCCAAAAAGTATCAAGCTGCCTGCAGGGGCAAACCAGAGATGCTCAGAGGCAGGGGCCCTGGCCTCGGACACGTCTGAGGATGCCATGCATTTTGGACTGTGGGCAACAAGGATAAGCAACCAAAGGGACACACTTGAAAACTTCAGCAGCCCACCCAGCCCCCCAAAACTGCATCTGGCTGCCCACCAAGTGGCTTGTGCCCCAAGAACATCAGGGCCCCCGGTGGTGGTGGTGCACCACCGTCCGTTCAAGCAGGGGTGATGCTATATCCAGCATCACCCAGGGGCCCGGCCCCGCATCCTCCCCATCACTGAGCAAATGGAGGAAGTGACTTCACGCTGCTTTTGTTTCTCGCTCTCTGCCCTGCCAGAGCTTTCCCAGGGCTGCGCAAAAGCCAGCGTGGCCGCCTCCACCGAGCGCCAGGCTCAAGGCTACGGGGCCTCCCACGTCGTCACGAGTCCTCCCCGCTCACCATCATCCAGCCTCCGGGGCTGCCAGCGGGGCACAGATGCACAGACACATTGCTCTTGCTCCAGAGCCCCACGTATGCCACATAAGTGGCACCAGATGGTTTTGTCTGCCAATCGTCTTTGCCTCTTGACTTCGATTTCACAGCAAACATTTGAGCTCGTTGTCAGAGTTGCCTTGATCGGCACAGGGGCTGGTGGGGCGGGGAGTAAGGGATGTTGGAGCTGCAGCCCTCTGGTCCTGAGGACCAGCATGGGGATGGTGAGGGGACCAGCAGCCCTGGAAAGTGAGGCCCCTGGCTGCTGGCAAAGCCGGGGTGATGCGGGCAGCAGCTGGCTAGCAGCCTGGATGTCAGCCCTCCTGTCCTCCCACTCAGGCCCTGGACTCCCACCAGTCTGTAAGGGCCGTCATTTTGAAACCCTGGCACCCTGCACGTGATCCAGTGTACGTCTGTACTATCCCTTCAAGGAAGATGCGTCTTTGTTAGCTTCCAGGACATTCCACCTGTGACATCCCAACGCCCACATGGGGCCTGCCGCAGGGTCATTTCCAGTTTTCAAAATGGATTCTCACGATGCCACAGAAGTGTCTGCTCCCGAAGGTGTTCCTTTCACAGCTGTCTGAGCACGCTTTAGTTACAGGACTGCAGAAATTCACCCAACTCGCAGAGCTTGCTGTTCTCGGATATTACGTAACAAGCTAAGATGGATTTTCAGTGGCGGGCCCTGTGTTAGTGTCCTGGGGCTGCCGTAACGGAGGCACAGACTTGGGGCTTACACAAGGGAAACATGTTTTCTCCCCTTTCTGGAGGCCGTCTGGGATTGGGGCCCACCCTAGTCAGCTCACTTAACCTTACTTACCTCCTCAAAGGCCCTTTCTCCAAACACAGTCACATGGGTGTCGGGGCTTCAGCACACTGATCTGGGGAGCACCGTTCCCTCTATAACATGCCCTTCTGGTTAGAGAAGGTCACGCAGTGCGGGGCCCCAGCGGGGACAGCCGTGCCTGTGCAGGCACCGGGCAGCTGGCAGATGTGAGGATGACAGAGGCAGGGCCCCAGTGTGCGGCCCCAGGCAGAGAAGCGCTGGCTGGTGTCATGCCCCGAGCCCCCAGGGAATGTCTAAAATGTCCCTCCATCCAGAAAGCAAAGCCCACTCTGTCAAACTCCCTCTTTGAAAGTCATTGAATCTTTCTTCCCCAGCTTTGCTAGCTCCACAGTTCTGAGCTGTATTTAAATAGATAGCAACAATGACCATAAATCCTCTTTGGGACTGAAAACAAAATCTGTTTCGACTTGAGTGGGGATTTCTGTAGAAGACGGCTCAGTAAATTAAAGGGTGGGAGCAAACCTTCAGACACCACAATTAACACATTAAAAAGTGTGTGTGGTCCCAGCGGGCCCCAGAGGGGCATGAGGAAGCGTATTCGGGATGTACGTCATCGCGCTCCTTCATCCTGCAGGCTCAGGCAAGTCCAGGGCCTTCCTGTCTGTGAAGGCCCCGTTCCCAGGTCTGCGTCAGGCGTAACTGTGTCCCGGAGCCTCGGACTGTGCTGTCCATCCACTGAGATTGTTTCCCGTGTGTAGAAATGAACAGTCATTTCTGCTGTGGTCACCTGGGAAGAGGATGCCCCCTCTCATCCGGCCACTGTCCCTTCTCGTATGGAATTCTGAACACCGGCTGCTGTTTCAAACCCCCTCATCCCTTCTGGGCGATCCTGAAGCCCCCAGTTGACAGGCTTCACTCTCGGGTTCCCCAGGAGGCAGGGGCTCACCTCTGGGAACAAGCTTGGAGCCTGGAGAAGCCGCCCGGCTTGCCCTGTGGGAACCCCCAGCACTACGGAGGGCCAGGCTGACCCCTCATGCTGACCACCCTTCTGCTCCTGCGTCTGCAGATGCTGAGCTGCTTGGAGCACATGTACCATGACCTCGGCCTAGTCAGAGATTTCAGCATCAACCCCGTCACGCTCAGGAGGTGGCTGGTAAGTAGCAGCCGCTCCCTCCCTCCTGGACAAGTTTCCTGGAGTTACACAGCAATGGACCGTGGCGCCTCCCTGATGGCACTGGGCTTCCTCCAGTTGGAGGCGGCATCCCCATGAGGCAATGCAAGGACATTCGGCCAAGCTCTTGTCGGTCCTTCCAGCAAACAACACGCTTTGCCCCTAAGCTCCTGCTCTGGTGAGCTTCTCGCAGTAAGAACCAGGGAGGGACAAGTGAAGCAGTGCGTTCTAGAGCAACAATGTGTGTGAGCGAGTGTGTGCACATGTGTGTGTAAGTGTATGTGTATGGTTGTGCGTGTGCAAGTGTATGCATATGTGCCCACGCGGGTAAGTGTTGCAAGTGTGTGAGCATGTGCATATATGTGTGAGTGTGAATGTGTGAGCATGTGTTTATGCGTGTTATATGTGAGTGTGAGAGAGTGAGTGTGCATTTGTATATGTGCACTTGTGAGTGTGTATGATTATGTGTAGGCATGTGGGGAGGGTGTGTGTGTGTGTGTGACTATTTAGCAGCAGATCTTTTCTCTTTAAATAAAATATTGCTCAGAACCAAACAGTAAGAGCCTGTTCAAGGTGTGATGGTGACTGGGGACCCAGAGCTTGTCACGTAACCCCCAGCCATCCCCCAGCCTCACATCCCGTGTGGCTCCCCGGGGGACACCCCAGTCCATGAGGTCATGGGAAAAGCCCAGGGGATGTCTGTCCCCACACCTGCCCTCCGTGTGGCCCGTGGGATGTCCTCACCCCCCCGCGCCATCTCATCCCTACCCTCAGTAAGGGACGCCGTTGGCCTCTGGTGCAGATGAGGATTAGGGCTGGAGCATGGAAACAGCTAGAGGCCAGTGGGCTACGGGGTGGCTGGAGAGGAGGGCGGCAGTGGGGAACCTCTCATCTCCCGCAGCTCTGCGTGCACGACAACTACAGGAACAACCCCTTCCACAACTTTCGGCATTGCTTCTGCGTGGCCCAGATGATGTACAGCATGATCTGGCTCTGCAGTCTCCAGGTGGGTCCTGGGGGGGCTCCTTCGGGGTTGCAGCACCTCCGCTCAGGGATGCGGCCCCCACCCCCATCAATGAGCAGGTACGCCCAGCGCTCCTCACCCGGCCCCGGAAAGTGGGAGGTCCTCGCTCCCAGGCCAGCTGCTGGAGGGGCTTCATCCTGCCCACATCACCATCCTGGCCCCCTCCTCACCCCATCCCACCCTCTCTCTAATCCAGGAGAAGTTTTCCCAAATGGATATCTTGATCCTAATGACAGCAGCCATCTGCCACGACTTGGACCATCCGGGGTACAACAACACGTACGTACACGATTTGCTTTCCTTTTAAAGGGCTCTCTGGTTCCCCTCCACACTCAGGCCAGTTCCAAGCTGGAGCTGCTAGCGAAGGCCTCCTGGGCCCCAGCTCCACCTCGGTGGGACACAGCTCCCGCTTTGGGGCTTTGTCCAGGGCCTTGGGCCTCCCTGGAGCAGGACCCTGCAAGGTTAGCACACCCTGAGGGGCTGCCACACCCTTCTGGGGCCTGGCTTCAGGCTCTGTGTCTACAGGAGCTGAGCCAGGGCAGAACCAGAACATCCCTGCCCCCGAGGCAGGCAGTGAAGCCAGCCCGTGGATGGGGGTGGCAGGCAACCCCCGACCCCGTTCTCTGGATCTCACTCCACCCACGGGCAGCCTCCCTAGCTTGTTACCAGCAGGAGCAAGGCAGAGGGAAGGGCTAGAACTGAGCGACAGAAGGGGTGCAGGTGAGCAGGAGGCTGGGAGGGGACCGCGGCAGGCCGTGGGGGCCAGGAGGCCGGGCCACGCTTTGCTGGAACATTGGCCACTCCCGCCTCTGGGGACTGGGGGTGAAGGCACAGAGTTCCACACCACACAACGGCTGAAGTCCTGGCGTCCTGGCCTTGTGGCATTGGTTTGCGTTTATAGTGACGCGTCGGTTCTTTCTATTGAATTTGTATATTTGTACATCGAATTTTATTGTATGCGTGGTGACATCAAATATGCCCGAGAACCTTGCCATCATTTGTCAGGACCGGAACGGCTTCCACGGTGTGGAAGTCCATGCTCTTCAGAGCAGGCCGTCACCAGGGGCGTTCATTCCATTTCACCCTCATGATGGTGGGCAACATGCGGGTCAGCAGAGGGGCCCTAATCACAGCTTCTGACGTGAAAATACATCCTGATTCTTCTCCCAATTGTCTGCCTTTTGCACATACTGAAAATTTTTGCAAGGTGCCTTAACAGAAGAGCTGAGTGCCTTCAGGGCACTGTGCTGGGGGAAGTTGAGGTTTATCCGTGGGGTCTATCTCGTAGGACTGTAAGACCTTGGGAGTCTCTATTAAAGGGGCAGCAGAGAGTCAGGAGAGCCTGGAGAAGTGAGCTCCTGGCACGGGCAAGTGCCGTTGTCTCCCCCATCCCGGCATGCTTGCCTCCAGCTGCTGCGGTCACCGCTCACCTGCAAACTTTGGTGGTGTTGCCCTGATTGGCAGGTGCCCCTGAGTTTGGGCCTGAGGCCGCCTCTGCTCTCTCCTCCCATTCCAGCTACCAGATCAACGCCCGCACAGAGTTGGCCGTGCGCTACAATGACATCTCGCCCCTGGAGAACCACCACTGTGCCGTGGCCTTCCAGATCCTGGCCCAGCCCGCGTGCAACATCTTCTCCAACGTGCAGCCAGACGGGTTCAAGCAGATCAGACAGGTGTGCGGGGTGAGGGCGCTCCGACTGCAGGGTGGGGACATCTGCGGGGAGACAGTGAGCATGACCACAGAGCAGACCCCTGTCTCCAGTGGCTGAGGCTCCCAGAAGCTCCCGGTCACAGCAGTGTCCACCGGGGATCCTGGGGAACCAGCCCTCCTTCACACCCCTCCGAGGCCCAATGGTGCCCCAAGAAAGGTGCCCGCCCTTGGTGCATGCCTGGGATTCCACTGACCAGCACTTCACATCCGCTGTTTAACTCAACCCTTTGAGATAAGTCCCTTCTCATCTCCCAGCCCAGGAGAGCAAGGCTTCCAGAGGTCAGGCAAGTTGTCCAGGGCAGCACAGTGAGGCCCTGGACAGACACAGGTCCAACCCAGCAAAGCCCTAACCACTGTCCCCTAACCCCCCGCTGTGGTCCCCTGCAATCCGTGACCCGGTCAGCCCACTGCCCACTTCAGCTAAGAGACCTTTCTGCTCGGGGCATCTTGGAAGGAGGGAGACAGTGGCCATTTGTCCAGAGGCAAACACTTACAACCCTCCCAGAATAATGCCCCAACTCTCCCAGAATAATGCCCCTCCACACAGGAGTCCCGCCCACACAGCCCTGTGCTCCACCCTCCCACAGTCAGGGAGGGAAGATCTCGAGGAGTGCAGGGGGTCGAGTGGTAGCCCCTGTCCTGCCAAAAAAAAGCTGTATTCGCCTCCTGACCCCCAGAACCTGTGAATGTGCCCTTATTCAGAATGTCGAGCAAATAATCCATAACCAATCTGTCAATCAAAATTGGGGTGAGTTTATTAGGAGCCAGGTCTGAGGACTAGCCGCAGGCCTGGAAGGAAGGGCATCAAAGAAGTGGGGTGCACAGAGCGGTTATACACCGACTTGGAACAAAGAGCATCCATCACATGACAGGAATGTCCCTTTGACAGTAGTCACGAGATTGCTTTGTTGGCACAACAGATTGGCTGTCAGCAGGTCGGTGGTCACAGGTAAGCATGGCAATCAGTTCCTAGCCTAGGGAGAGATGCTTATCCTTAAGGAGATGCCAATGTGGGGGAAGTTGCACCTTTATCTTGAGGCCATTTGTCCTTGTCTTTGGGACACAGCAAATGCTTAAAGCAGATACACAATCCATGCTCAATGGCCGTGTCAGGTCCTTTTGGAAAAACAAAGTCAGGCCGAACTAGGTTTACACCCAATGGCTTCCTCCTATACTCCAGCACATCCTCTTGCTTGCCATTTGTTTATCAGGAAACGGAGTCTTTGCAGGTGCGATTAAGTTAGGATCTCTAGATAAGCTTAGCCTCCATTGCCCAGGCAGGCCCTAAATCCAACGACAGGTGTCCCTTAAGAGACAGAGGAGGAGACACAGACACGGAGGAGCCATGTGGTGATGGAGGCAGAGACGGAGTGATGTGGACACAGCCAAGGAGCGCCCGGGACCTCCAGAAGCTGGGAAAGGCAAGGGATGGATGTCCCCTGGCACCTTTGGAGGCAGCCCGGCCCTGCAGTGCTGTGACTGCAGACTCCTGGTCTTCAGAACTTGAGCGAATGCCTTCCTGCTGTTCTCCGTCCCCCAGCATGTGGCACCATGTGCGGCAGCCTCGGGACACCAATGGCGGGAGCCATCGTCGGGTCTGAGAGCCACGTCCTGCCGTTGCATGGAGGGAACCTCATCCATTCCATGTCTCAGTGGCCTTGCTTCAAGACGCACCTGATAAAGACTCAGGACTCCAGTGCTGGGAAAGCCCTCGCCCCCTCCTGGAGAACTGATAAGCTTCACTTTATCAGAGAACGACAGCCTTGGAAGCCATTGTTTCATAAACCATTGTCTCCCCGTCCACGCTTCCAGGAAGTTCGGAGCTAAACACAGCACTTAATTACAGTCCTTACTGAATCACCTTTCTGGGTACAATGAGCCCCCTTTATCTGAAGGCTCTCTGGCCTCTCTCCCGTGTGTACAGAACCAGCCAGCAAGCGTGTACCGTGGGTTATAAACCACAGTGACTCTTTCTCTGATGTCAGCAAAGAGACAGATCGTGAAGGGAGGGGCTGCATTTGCCCCTGCCCCGTGGCTGCCCAGGGAGGAGCTCCTCCTGGAGTACCACCCAGAGAACCACAGTGGCTGAACGCCCCTACATGCCTGTGGCTCTGGCGGAGACCCCACAGGGGAGAAGGGCCCCTGCCTGGTAGAGCGGCTGCCCGTGGAGGGGTCTTCCTCACGCCATCCACCCTGGGGACACACAGGGTTTTCCTGCCTTATTGGACAACTTTTATTGGACAACTGCCAACAAAAGCAATTGTCCCAATTTTTTATTATATTTTGTCATTGAATGTTTGGAGGGACAACTCCTCATGAGAATAGATCCTTCACTACTAACACAATTAAATCTTTACAGAGAAATTGCACAATTCAAAATGCTAGGGATGTTTTCCCTCCCCCAAAATACATTTGAGGTGATCTGTATTGACTGATCTGAGTCCTGTGTTTGAGGCTATGTCTTTATTTTCTCGGAAAAGTAGAACACCGTACCCAGCACAGAGGTATATTCTGTAAATGTTTGTGGGATGGATGGACGGGTGGATGGATGGATGGATATGGATGGTTGGATGGATGGATGGATGGTGGGTGGATGGATGGATGGGTGGATGGTGGATGGTGGATGGATGGATGAGTAGATGGTTGGATGGATAGATGGATGATGGATGGGTGGATGGATATGGATGGATGGATAGTGGATGGATGGATACGTAGATGGATGGATGGATGGATGGATGGTGGATGGATGGATGGAGTATGATGGTTGGATGGATGGTGGATGGATGGATGGTGGATGGATGGATGAGTAGATGGTTGGATGGATGGTGGATGGATGGATGGATGGATGGTGGATGGATGGATGAGTGGATGGATGGATGGGGGATGGGTGGATGGATGGATGAGTGGACAGGTGGGTGGATGAGTAGATGGATAAATTGATGGGTGGATGAGTGGACTGATAGATCATCATGGCTTCGAATTATGTTACTTCTCCTAAACCAATATTTGGTTAACAAGGTAATAAAATATTTATACTAAAAAACTTATTGCATCCTCATTTTCACATTTGTGAATAGAAGAAGGCTATTCAATATAATCTGACTCTGCTCATTCCCAAGCAATATAAGCACGTATAATCACATGCAGAAAGATAAGAGGAAAAAATTACCCTTGGAAAATCTGTTCTTGACCTCCAACAACAAGATCTGGAAGGAACAAACCATGTGTGTAGATTACTGAGTCGAGGGGAAGCCTTTGTCCTTGGCTGAAACCTGCTAGACCCCACAGGAACACACAGGCTAAGCCCGCCATCATCCTGGCAGGACCCACTGTGCGAGGGGCCACCTGGGCTGAACCCCCAGCCTTCCGCTCACCCACTGCAGCCTGGGCGAGTCCCTTGGCCTCCTGAGGGCTCAGCGCCCTTATCTTAAAGGTCAGGACAGTGATCCTTAGAGACACACGCAGAGCTGGCGTGAGGACCGAATGACAGCATGTGCGAGGGCTCGTCCGGGATGGGCGCCCGCGGAGGGATTGTAAGGTTGTGCGCAGCGCTAACGCTTTGCCCTCTCACTTTTCAGGGAATGATCACGTTGATCTTGGCCACCGACATGGCAAGGCACGCAGAAATCATGGATTCTTTCAAAGAAAAAATGGAGAATTTTGACTACAGCAACGAGGAACACATGACTCTTGTAAGGAGGCTCGGTGACCTCTCTGGGGGGCTGGTGCATGAGTCCCGCCCTCCAGCTCAGCCTGGAAGCCGAGATACCAGAATTCTTACCCTTGCCCTGGAGGGAGGTGTCACTCAAGCTGGTTTTCAAAGTCACACCTCCTACCCGGGGGAGCCCCCCAGAGGGCCCCTCTCCTGCTTAGGAGCATCGTTTCCCATCCCTCCAGTTTCCCATCCCTCCATCTCGTTCTGGTTTGGAGGTGATAAGTGGCGAAGGCCATTCTTCTTGCTCTGGTTTCCTGAGAATCAAGTTGCCTCTCCCAGGAAGGTGTGGCCCACAAGACACTGAATACCAGCCTCTGTCTAGAGATGGAAGAGGCATGAGTAGACAGTAACCCCATTGGATGCCTTTTTTTTTTGAGGAAGATTAGCTCTGAGCTACCAATCCTCCTCTTTTTTTTTTTTTGCTGAGGAAGATTGACCCTGAGCTAACATCCATGCCCATCTTCCTCCATTTTGTATGTGGGACACCTGCCACAGCATGGCTTGATAAGCAGTACGTAGGTCCGCGCCCAGGATCAAAACTGGCTAACCCCTGAGCCACCAAGCAGAGTACACGAACTTGACTGCTGTGTCATGGGGCTGGGCCCTGGATGTCTCTTTTCTCCCCCTGAAATGTGAGGAAAGGCCAGCTGAGATGGGGAGACGAGGCAGGAGGCCAGACAATGGGCCAGGCGGAAAGGAACCATCAGGCCTTTACTCACTCACTGCAGCTGAGCAAGCCAGGGGCAAAAGGGTGCCAGCTCCCCGTGTCCCATCCACCCGACCACCTGACGGTCGGGGGCTGGGAGAGGCAGAGGCTAAGGGCCAGGAGAGCACAGTCTGGGTCAAAGTGGAGGAAAGGGCCTCAGCCAAGGTCCCACGGGAGGCCGAATGCAGGTGTGTGTGAGCGAGCGCCCTGCTGTGGGGCCACATCTGGGGTCGGGTGGCCAGGAAGCCTGGCGGGAGGGGCCGGAGCAGGACCTGGAGGGACACACTCAGGCGTGGACAGTGGGAGAGGAGGCTTCTGCAGGACGGTGGCCTGAGTGGGGCCTGCATGCAGCAGGGAGCACACAGGCAGGCAGAGAGCCCGGCCAACGCAGGGCAGACACCGGCCTGGAGCAAGGCCGAAACCAGCGCCACCTTCAACAGTTGTGTATTTGCTGACTCCAGGCTGGAGGGGGCAGGCGGAATTGGAGTTCTGCCCAATGGCCGCCCATGGGGTCAGCAGCCAGGGCTGTGGCTCCCACTCCCTCCCGCCCCGGGGTTCAGGGGCAGGGGGTGCGCCCTAAGCTCTTATGTGAGGGTCCCCTTCGCCCTATATTCTAAACGTGCCACTTTGTCCCTCGGGGGTCCTAGTGCCCTCCACCTCAGGGGTCTTCATTCCCTTCGAGCCTCTGCCTCCTTACGATGCGTCTCTCTACTTTTTTGTGTATCCTCAACAATCAAGAGGATGTTTTCGGACTTTACAATGTATAGTTTGCGTTACAAAATGTCAGTGTGTTCAGAGAGCTTTTCTACTGTTCAGGCCCCTCCAAAAAACATTCTGATCCTTTGGGGGTGCAGTGGTGCCCCCGTTCTCCCCGGGTGAGGCTGAGGGGTCTAAATGCAGAATGCGAGGCACCCACTTCGGCATGAAAGGTCACGCCCTTGGAGGGAGGGAGCCCAGCTCCATCCGTCATCCCCCTCCACTCACCCCCACCCCGGCCGGCCAGCGTCACCGCCCTCGGCTCCTCCTGCCTGTGACAGCCAGCCTGACCCCAGCAGCAGCAGCGGCACGTGTTCTGTGTCCCGTGGCCTAATTCCTAACCTCTTCTTCCAGCTGAAGATGGTTTTGATCAAATGCTGTGACATCTCTAATGAGGTGCGTCCGATGGAAGTCGCGGAACCCTGGGCGGAATGCTTGCTGGAGGAATATTTTATGCAGGTGAGAGTGTCGCCCTGCCGTCCTGCCTCCTGCCCTCCTTTCAGCCCCTTTATCAGGGCTCACGGTTGACCGACGTGCCAAGGTGGCCTTGCCCATCAGGTAGCGGATGGTTTTGCCCGCCTCCAGGAAGCCTGCACAGCAGGCGCGCATCAAAAATGAAATAGGTTGTGATTTGAGATGTGAAAGACAGTGGCAACCCGGAAAAGCTAATGTTGCAAAACTGCCACCCACTGCCACTAATTGAGCTGCTCTGAGGGGCGGACGTGTCAGGCAGGCCGCCTGGACGTCCAGCAGGAAGAGCTGCAGAGCCAGGGGAAGCCCCGGGGGCAGGGGGGCCACGCAGGTCAGCCTACCTTGTGGCCGTGGGGAAGCTCTGAGACAGAAAACCAAGCCAGCCTAAGATGGAAAATGCTGGAAAGGACAGTAAGCCACTGAGTGCAACAGCTTGATGAAGCCCGGGAGAACACGGGGAGGTGTGGAGGGTTGTGTCTGTAAGCTGCTTCTGCTGCTGAGTGGCCCTGCGATGTGCTGACCAGCCTCTGCCTGTCCCCCACTCGGTCCTGGCAGCAGGCCCTGTGGGCCCAGCAAACGCGCTAGTTGGCACTTACGGTGTTGTCATCTCTCCTCGTTACTGATGTAGGTCCTGCAGAGCCGGGGCTGGGGGGTCGCTGGCTCGTTCTCCTCTTCCTCTGAAAACAGCGATCTGTAGCGCTCTCCAGATCCCCCGGGCCCTTCTTTCTCTGACATTCTGCCTCCTGCATCCTCCACAGAGTGACCGCGAGAAGTCGGAAGGCCTCCCCGTGGCCCCTTTCATGGACCGGGACAAAGTGACCAAGGCCACCGCCCAAATTGGGTTCATCAGGTTTGTCCTGATCCCGATGTTTGAAACGGTGACCAAGGTGAGTGACCGTGACCAGACGCTGGATGACCGGACAGAGAAATACACATGTGTGCACACCCATGTATACACACGCACACACATGCACCACACACACTCATGTACACACACACCCGCACGCTATGTGCTGTGGCTCCTGTCCAATGCCTGTCCTGAAGCGCCCCCTCCACCTTAACACAAGCGCGTCCAAAATGACCTGGCCTCCTGCCCCCGCCAGGCAGTGACCCAGCAGCAGAGCCCCAGGGCCGCTCGGCTTCCCCTTTGTCAGCCCCTTGGCCAGCCTGCCGGCTCTCAGAGCCCCTCGCCACAGTGTCTCTCGGAGATACCCCCATGCCTCGCCCCCCCCAGGGCCCCAGCCAGGAGCCTGGGCAGCTCCTCTCATCTTCGCCTTCAGAAGAACCTCCTAACCTGTCCCCACCTCCACTCAGCACACGCCCATCTTCAGGAAGGAGACTGTCTGCGCCTCTCTCCTGAACCTTCCATGGCTCCCCGCTGCCCCGCCTCATTGCCCATGTCCCTGTTCCCCCTGGCACTCCTGTCTTGCAAGACAGCCCATACCTGCTAGTCCTTGCCTTCCTTCCACCCTCCACCTCTGAGTGCATCCTTCCGTCCCCTGGGGGTCCCCAGCCTCTGCCCCGTGCCATCCTGCCAACCTTCTAGAGCTACATCAGCACATCCTTCTTCAAACCCTAAAGCACTCTTACTTCCCTGGGAACTCGCCTTCCTGTACGTAGCAGCCCTTCCACCAACTGGGGAGCTTTCACCTCGGGCCAGCGGGTGCCCGGCCACCAGGGGTGCAGCGATGCGAGGATGGCCCGGCCCCGCCCCGCAGCAGGAGCAGGGATGTGACTGAGCGAGCGTCGAAAGCCTTACGCGGGGAGAGCTGTGTGCACAGTGTTCAGTGGCCGGGGTCACGCCTCCCTGGGGCTGGGGAGGGCCCCCAGGGGAGGCAGTGCCCTCTGAGCTGAGTCTCAAAGACATGACTGTCCAGCAGGCGGACACGGTGGGCTGAGAGCCGCAGGCCGGAGGGCGGAGCCGCTCGGCCAGGCTGGGGTGTGGGTGCGGGTGGAGACGGAGGGTGGGGCTGGCGTTTGGAGAGGGGTAACCGCAGCATGGACAGTCAGGGGCCACGGGAGGCAGAGGGAAGGGAGCACCTTCTGCCAGGTCCCTCTGGAAAGCATCAGAGAGGAAACAGGGACCCTGGAAACGGAGGAGGCGGGGCTGGCCGCCGCGGTGGGAGGGGCTCCAGAACCTGGGTCGCCTCGATTCCGCTGCAGCCCGCCACCCACGAGGCTCCGGGAGTGCCCCTGGGATGGGGGCGGATTTCCCGTGCCATCCACGGAGACGCAGAGGACCTGCTGCCTGTTTTGTGCAAACGTTTTCTGTCGCCTTAAGAATGAGGGACCGTTTGGACGAATCCCCTTGTGTCTCTCCCAGCTCTTCCCCGTGGTCGAGGAACTCATGCTGCAGCCCCTTTGGGAATCCAGGGATCGCTACGAGGAGCTGAAGCAAATAGACGATGCCATGGAAGAGGTAAAACGTGCTCTTGGGGAAACGTGGTCTTCCGCACGCACCGCCCAACTGTCCTGGTCGTGAACAGGCTGAGCCAGCGCCCCTGCAGGTGGCCTCTCTGGACGGGAGCGCATCTCCATCCCACCGGACAGACAGGCCCAATGGAGATAGGGAGTCTGTACGCTCAGGGAAACGGAAAATGCTTGGGACCAAGGGCTCCGATGCTCTGTGCTCCTTTGAGGGAGCGGCATGGTACCCAGTGATTGTGCACGCCCCACATGTGATCAAGCGTGTCAGCAGCCTCCCAGCACCCCGGGTCCCCTCGGAGCAGCGCCCTGGCCCGTGTGGGTCCCTCACCTCCTCCTGGCCCTGGGGCCGACCTTGTTCAGTGGGGAGGGCGTTGGGAAGAAACGCTCCCCCAGCACCGAAAGAGCCGCCTCCCAGTCCTAGCCTGAGGCCACGAGCTCGCCCATGTGGCAGCTCAGCCCCCCTGCGGAGTCAGGGCCACCGGCTCTGGCTTTAGGTTGCCATTGGGATTGGGACTGTTGTCAGGCAAGGGTCACGCTCACAGGCGCAGAGCTGGTGTGGGAGCTTTTCACAGCCCCGTGAGCTGGCCTGGTCAAGTCAGGACCCCTTTGTGGCTGCAGCCAGTGGGAGCTCGTCGTCCAAGTGCCGGACAGTGGCCGTGCGGGGCGAGGCATCCAATAGCGGGGAAGGTTGTCCAGGCACGGAGCGGTGTCTGCAGAGCTCACGCCGGGTGTGTTCGGGCACACCAAGGCTGTGATGTCAGTCTCCATGGCACATTTGAGCCGATTTGCCATCAGGAAGCTCGGAAGCAGACAGTCACGCACTCCCCATCTCCAGGAGCCTGATTCTTGCCTTCTCTGTGCTCTGTCCCGGTTACAGAAGAAGACGGGGAGCCTGACATCTGGGGCCACCGAGAAGTCGAGAGAGAAAAGCAGAGACGCGACAAAGAGTGAAGGTAGGCTGTTCTGAATCGACCTCTCGCTGCATGCCGTGGTTCCCAGTAAATGGGGACCCAGTGGAAATCTGGGGAAGGAAGGAAATCCCAATGGCTGAAGAGTGTTAAATAAGTGAAACTTATTCCTTGCACGTAATAATTAGAATTAGACTCTGAAAGAAGGGGGACGTGCTTTAGTTGATAGAAAAAGATCAATAATTAGCCTATGCGCCACTTATAAAGAAAAGCACTTTTTAAATTTAAAATCTTTTCAAAAATGAAGTCTTCAAGCCTTTTCCCCTGCAGTTGTGGCTGTAGCCACTTCTTGTAGAAGGCCAGCCAGCCCATACTGAGAATCCACCACACACGTGTCTGAGGGTCATTCGGAGATTCTCGGTTTATAAAGCACCAGGGCACAGGGCACGAGAAACTGGGTTTGGTTTTTAAGAGGAGCGGTGACGGGCTCCGGCATCTGACAAACCCTGCTCTGAGAGTCGGAGCTTTGTAATTACAAGCTGAGCACCGTGCGCCCGTGTCTCAACCTCTCTGAGCCTCACAGCCCTCATCTCTAAACTGGAAGTACTTAGACCATTACTGTTATTGTTTCAGCAATTAGGGGAGCAGAGTGCTGGTGCAAATGTGCTCAGTGAACTCTGGCCCCTGATTTTTTGAATGGCTTGGAAGAAAACTGTTCTCTTTTGCCTAAACGCGTTCAACCATAATTCCAGTGGCCTCACTTTTTAAACGCTGTCTGCATGTGATCCTGATGTTTGTGATATTGCCTGCACATTTTCAATCCCAACAGAAACAAACCGGCCATGCTTTTCCTTTCCCAAGCAGACCGTGCCTGAAGAAAGCAGGACCGTTGCGGCTGTTGCTCTGGACGGTCCGGCCATGCCGCGCGGGAGTCCTCCAGGCAGGGACAAGCAGCTTCTGAGCGCCTGACGTCACGAGGCCACGTTTTCTAAGAACCCGTTTTGTCCACTGATACAAAAAGGGATTCACGATACTGTACAGAATTTTTATTTTTAAACTGTCTTTTAAATAATATATTCTTCTACAGAAATGGGTACTGTACTTTTTCTTTGGTTGAGTTATGTATCCCGGGGCTGCTTCTGATAAACCACGGGAACACTCCCCCCGCCCCGCTCCCACGCGGAGACGAAGGACCCTGTGGCGTCCACACATGTCTCTTAGAGTGACTGCCCGGGCTGCTGCGATGCGTACCTCCGTGTAAATTCAGCATTAAATGTCAGACCGGTGCCAGGAGCACAGGTGTGTCCTGTGTTTCTGAGCAGCGAGGGGGACATCGGTGACATTGGTGCCAGTGCACGGGGACGTGTGGGGCCCAAGGCAGCGCGGTCAGAAGAGAGAAGTCCACGCGGGTGTAAACGTACCACCAGGCTGGTGCCCATCACAGGGAGGTGGGAATTTAACGTTTAAACCAGCAGATAAAGAAAGGAGACGCGTTTACTCAGCACATGTGGGGGTGTCCGTCTCAGGGGAGGAAGCTGTCCTTTTCTTCCTGCCTTTGTGTTAGGGACAGGCACTGGGGACATCCTGGGTGGCACTGTGTCCACGAACGGAGGCTGACCCCTGCTTGTTTGCGGTCGAGCTTGGAGAGGCACCCACCTGAGCTCCCGCTGGGACCCCCTGCACGGGATTAGACCCCAGAGTGCTTCCTGGGGCTGCAGTCTCCACGTCTGCCCCCGCAGGGACAACATAACCTCCAGAGAGCCCCGCTCAGGACTGCCCTTTAGGGCTGTCTCAGACTCCGAGCGCGGGGACGTTTCATCTGCGTCACTCAGGTTCCTGGGAGCATCTGTTCCCTTGCGGTGAATTCCAGAATATCACATCCCATCTTTGCATAATTCATTTTTGGGCTGTGTACTCTTCCATCTCTTCTTGAGTCCAGCTCATCATGGACGGGGCCTTGGGCTCCACATCTCCTCTTGTTTCTGTTACTGTTTCTCATTTTAATCCTGCGGAAGCCGGTGCACGTGGCAGCTTCAGCTAAGATGCAGCCCAGCCCTAGCAGGTGTTCGGATGCTGATGCTCCTGGGCCTGCCGGGCCTCCTGCTCAGAAGGCTGTTCCCTGCTCTCCCCTCGGGGAGCGAGGTCTTCGAACAGTACCTCCTGTCTGCTCAATCTGCTGAGTGCCCACCTCACCCGACTGCTCCCTTATCACACTTCTTACAGTGCTCACTGAATGGGACACTCCCACACACACGCACACACACACATATACACATGTACACACAATCACATATAGACGTGCCCACACATGAACACACATACACGCACAATCTCACGCCCATGCGTGCACATGCACATGCATAACACACAATCACACATATGTACGTATGAGTCCACACATGCTTGCATACACGTGTTCACACATATACACAGGTATCCACACACGTACACATGTCCACACACAAATACAAATATATGCACATATATACATAATCTCACACATGCATGTGTGTATACAGATGCACACACATGTACACAATCACACACACACCTATGTGCACTCCTCCGCTCCAGCACCCTTCCTCTGCATTGCTGGATTTAGTTTATACCAAGTCCTGGAACAACGGAATCAACAAACAGGAGGAGACGGTAAGGAGAGCCCGTCCTGGCAGCGTCCGTGACAGCCCCAGTCCTTGCGTAGCCAAGTTCCATTAATGGGACCCTAGAAACTGGTACAAGAGCGGCAGGCTTCCTGCAAAATGCTTCCCCAAACCTGCTGCTTCAGAACTGTTGACGCACCATGGGACAATGAGGCCTGGCCTGAGTCACCTCCCACACCGGGCGCGTCCCCCTTTACCACCAGCCAGCCTCCTGTCGCACAGACCAGCCCCAGAGCCTGTGGACTGAGGTCCTGCCCGCCCTGGTGAGCCTGCTCGCCCAAGGCCTGGAGTTCCCCCTGCCCCAGGAGGCACCCACACGCCTTGGCTAAGTCAGTGACCACGTGGGCAGCAGAGGGTGAGAGAGTGAGATGTGGCCAGTGCCCAACTGCCAGTGTTAAGTTGACATGAAGGATGAAATGTTCAGAGCCAGGCTGCACATTGGGAGATCAGCAATGCCTTGTGCTTTCGAAAACGGGATGGAGCCGGCTGCTGGTCCCGCACACGGCACATCTCAGCAAGGCATCCCCACCATCCCGTGACCCAGCCAGGCCTCCATCACCTGGTGTCCACACAAGGGGACACGAAAATGCTGGTTTCCATTGTTTCTCTCCCCAAGAACTTCTAGCGACTCAAGGCACGTGGCATGTGTCAAAGACTGGATCTGATAAAACCCAGAACTCTCCCTCCTCAGTGTCATCCTAGGAGCCTGGCGCTGATGAGGTGCTGGCTTGGGATGAGAGCTCCTGGCCCCCCACGTCTCCCCCTGCCTGTCAGGAAGGCAGTGCAGCCCCTTAGGATCTCAGGTTCAACCTTGCAGGGAAGGAAGGAAAAAAGGAGAAACATCTGTCACTTCCACCTGGAGGGCGTCCCCGTGGCCGAACTCCCCCGCTCCACCCTCTCACATTGCCTGCCATGGTGTCTCAGACCACCGCCTCCTCCTGTGGCTTCCTCTATTTGTAATATCTGAAGCCAACACGGCAGCCTTCACTTACTGGCATCTTTAACCAAGTCCTATCAGAAATCAGTTCAGCATGAAGGTTGAATAAACACTGAACACGAAAATACTTAAGCCCAGATAGGTTTCTGTGGGTGGGAACTCTGGCATCCGGTTGCCTCTGGTAGAGAGGAACAGCTGCTCCATCTGGCTGGGGGCCACACCGGGTCTGTTGCCACCGAAAGTGCCATATTCCATCCTCACTCCAAAGGCAGCCATGGCCCTGGGTCCCCTGCGCAGCCAGGAAATGGCCGAGGGGGATGATGTGGTGGGCAGACACACTGGACAAGAAGGTTTTGCTCTGTCTTACCGCTCTTCCAATATGGGCACGAGGGGAGTTTTAAAACAATTAAATCAACTGATTGTAACTAATCTAAAAGGGCAGATAATTCATCATCCCAGATTTTGGAGGGGGCATTCTCTATGGCTAGGCAAGAGATGCTGAGCCTGAGTGTTGGGGATTCAGGGTCTCTCAGTGTCTTCAGGCGAGTTTTCCCAGCTCCACTGTCGGACTTCCAACCCCACCACGAAGGGAGATGGAAAGGGTGAGGCAGCCGGTCCCACAGATTCTCAGGAGCTTGTGGGGAGAGTGGACTTGCCTTTGACAGACATCTTGCTGTGAAACGAGCAAGCGTTTGCCTCAGGGAGAAGCCAGGTCCTGTGAGGGAGTGAGTCTCCTTGTTACGGGCTGAATTGTGTCCCCCCAGAATTCATATGTTGAGGTCCTAACCCCCAGCACTTCGGACTGGGACTATATTTGGAGGTAGGGCCTTTAAAGAGGTGGTTAAGTTAAAAAGAGGTCATTGGGCTGGGCCCTAATCCACTAGGACTGTGTCCCTATGAGATGAGGAGATCAGGACACAGACACACAGAGGGACGACCGTGCTAGGACACAGGGAGAAGACGGTGTCTACAAGCTATGGAGAGAGGCCTCAGAGGAACCAGCCCTGAGACACCTGGATCTCAGGCTTCAGGCCTCCAACTGTGAGAAGATCAATGTCTGTCATTTAAGCCTCCAAGGCTTAATGTGGTATTTGTCACAGCAGCCACAGCCCTCATCGCTGTCCGGGAGCAGCTGCCCCAGGGCCCCGCACATAGTGGGTGCTCAAGATGATTGGAGCTGGGTGGCCTGGCCGGCACCAGGAAGGCCCGCAGGCCCGGTAGCCGCCCCTCTCTCTCTGGGACGCTGCTTGTCCAGGGGAAGGGGGCCCTTTCCAACCCTAGGGATCGTCCCTAAGGGCTTGTCCCGGGCGAGAGGCATTGTCTGCATCCCAGACTCCCATGCTGTCAGACGACAACTGGCCTCGTGAGCTGGGAGAGGAGGCAGGAAAGATCCAGAACCTTCACCTCCCAGGCAAAAAATCATTTCCCAGGACCCCACGCCCCCAAGGGTCGGCCCAGGTGACGGGCATACAGTAGGAGCTCAGACATTTACCAAAGGAATGACCAAATTGTGGTCGCTCACCTAAAGAATCACAAAAGAGCAAAAAAAATCATACACAACGTGTATAGGGCGTGTGGGCGCAAGAGCACTCTTGTAGGTACACGTATGTGTGTGCGTGTGTGTGTGTGTGTGCATGTTGACGAGCATCCGTGCAGCCAGGACTCACCGAGCCTCACTCCCAGCTGAGAGAAAGTTAAAAAGATGAACGGACGGCAGGCATCTGTCCTTGGCACAGGTTTTCAGACCCAGCAGGAACGCTGGGGCTCCGTGAAACCACACAGGGGCAGGTGCGAGGGAGAGGAGGCGGGGGCAGCCAGTGTGGGCCATGGTGGCGAGGCCTCCTGCGGCGTCTGACCATGATTTGTGGCAACGAGAGTCATGGCTAATTGCTGCTGTTTCCCTTAAAAGTAATTACACAAAAAATCCACATGGCACCAGACATGCCAATTGGAACATCACAGGAGGAAATGTCGAGCCACCTGGGCTGGCTGATCCGTCTGCCTGTGCTGACTGCTGCTGGGAGATGCCCAGAGACACCGCTAAATAGCTGTCGTGGGTGCTAATCGGCAGGACGCAGAGGCTGGCAGTGTGGCACACAGCTCCCACCGCCATGGGAACCTCCACTGGCTCCCTGGGCTGAGGCTGCCTGCTGGCAGTGCGCCCACCACAGTTCACCGGTGGGGAAGGGACCATGCAGAAATGTGCCCTGTGTTTATATATCACCCGCTTTCCTGGGACAGAGCCATCCATCTGGAATGGCCCAGGCCGGCCTCCTCCAACGGCAGGCCCTCCCCTGACATCAGCAAGGCTGCACCCTCCCCCCGTGTCGGTCCAGCTTCTGCCATCAGGATGGAGGGTCATCCAGAAGTGGCCTGTTCTGCAGAGAGTCTGGGGGACTGGGTTTGAACACTTCTGGATCTCTTCTCACCAACTGTGTGGACGACCCACCTTCTGTGTTAGTGTTGTGTGGCTGATGCAACAAAGTACCAAAA